GTACAGTATATACTGTAAGCGCAGTAGACAACAGAACAATGTAGTTCCATAAACTAAGGAATGTAAATATTGTAAATACTTTCTGCTCTCATGAATAAAATCAATCAATCAAATGATCGTTATTATCAAACTAGACTCGTCATAATATTCAGGGGGTTTTACTGCACATATGACTCCAGCAGCTGCATCTGCGCTTCTTTTTACACTCTATTAATGGTGTCTTTGTTCATGTCTATTTTTTCATGAATGGACTCATCACATTTCATTTATTATCAGAAAGGAGACAGCATGAGATGGTTTAGCAGACGTTTTGGGAGTGACTAGGCTGTTTTAACAATAACCCTGGAGGTGTTTAGTAAAAGTACATCCCATTCTTTGTAGACGTTGTAGCGATATCTCACGCTCTGCTTAAGATGTTTATTCAATGCACTTTATGTTCCGTTGCACAGCGCAGATCTCATTCTTGGGTGCATTTGTTGAGAATAATTCACTGTAGAAAACAGTAACACACCACTTTGAAGCGGTAAACCTGCCACCTGTTACAATTACAACATTATATAAGTGTTGTGCCTCTACTGTTGCTTCATCCGTTCTCTAAAATCTCTGTAGTCATTATGCCCCTGTTTGAGTCACCACCTCCTGCTCCTTTGTTGTGGGCAGACGGAAAAACTGAACATTTTTCTTGCTTTGTGTGACTTTTATCTGGCGACTGACCTGACGACTGAAATGACCCGTTCTGGCGGCAGCAGGAAGTCTGTCGTCTTGTGATTGTCTCTGTGGGTGTGGGCGACTGTAGGCAAACACAGGGAAAGATCCTTGTTTGAACAGTACGCAGATGAGGCTCCTTCCAGTTTAAGTGTGGAGTCATTTTAGGCCAACTACATGGACAACATTGAAGAAAGTATGCCACAAAAATGCCCCCAAAGTGTGATTTTTTTTTAATACAAGGGCCTGCTGCTGCTTGCTTCCAGTGAAATGGTGCTGTAATCTTCCTCCATTATGGTAAACTTGTTTATCCCTATGAAGAAGTATGGTTTTAACTTTCTAAGTTTGTGGTTCATGATCCATCTTCATATGTAATGGTTATTTACATTACTTTTATGAAAGTAGCAATATGTAAGATTTTCATGTCAAGTCATCATTAAAGTGCCCTAATCTGTCAAAAAGGCATTAATACATCATGCTCTTTTCCAATACTTCTTTTAACTGATAACAGTAGCTCAGAGTTAATTGAATTTCAAAATCAGAAAGTCCGGGCGCCAGAACTCACCGTGTGGAGCTAATCTCACTGGTAAAGTACCATGTGGCGCAGAACTAAAAAAGGTCTCGTTATGATTCTCAAATCATTAACGACAAAACAAGGAATAAAACCAGGATTTCTATCTTTGTGAAAAAGGTGTTGGTTATAGATTTGTTGTTGACAAAACTCTTGTCTATTCAGCTGTTATGGTCCCAGCTGGATTCGTCTGCATATCTGGCAACCTGAGTCAGGGAGAGTGGGAGAGGTTATTTTGATAATCCATTAGTTTGCCAATTATTCTTTCCATTAATCCATTACCGTACTTGCTGGACTAGAAGGTGCACCTGTGTATATTCCACACCGCTTACATTTTGAAATAAAATCAATGTTGTCCAGATAAAGGCCGCACCTGAATACAAGCCGCAGGTTCATGTTGTAGCAGAGACGACTGGCCTCACCATGATTTAATGACGAGGTGTTTTACAGTTTCACCGTTAGCTTCCATCACTCATTCACCTTCATCTGTTTGACAATAAACTAGCGTCCTGTAGCTACTAAAACATGGAGTCAAAATAACAAGTCCATAAACTCTGCTCTGACAACAGGACGACTCTATCATAATAGAAATACACATATTAGCTGCATCGCTATATAAGCCGCAGGGATCAAAGAACTAGAAAAAGTAGTGGCTTATAGTAATTACAGTAGTTGTTTAATGAAGGTTATTTACTGTAAAGAATGTCAAATAATAGCCTGGGCTATTAAGTTGTGCAATTAAGCTTTCAAAAATGTGACATAAACATGTTTTCTCCCTTCTTTAATAGGCATTATTGGCTGCTGCGATTTATACTCCGGAGCGATTTTTAATCTGAAAAATCTGTTACTTAACACATTTTTATTTCATTCTGCAGTCTTTGTAGAATTAAAGAGGAGATAAAATCTTCTCAGAATGTTTAAGGTCCAAAAACAATCAATTACTAAATTACTTGCCCCCAATTTCAAAAATCAAATAGTATTCATCTGTAAAATGATCTCTAATGCCTAGCGTACATCGGACTGGCCACTGATTATATCCGTGGCCTATGAGTCGCTGCCCCGCACACTCCTGTATCAGGCCAGTCTGGGGAATAACAGCGCGTACATCGACAGCGACTGGCCTCAACTACAGTGTGTTTTCTGACATGAACTGTAGAGGGCGCAACACACGCGACACACACATGTTGTTGGAGCACATCGGGTGATATCTCTGGATCTGAGGACAACTAGTTGCCGAAAAGTAGAACACGGGCAACAGACTGAATCCGGAGACCGACTGATCATCTCCAGTTGTAAGAGCGCTCACATCGACCAACTGATCATCTCCATCATCTCCTCTCAGTCGCCAAAAGCCGCCTTGAAACTAGTTGTCTCCAGTTTCTCTGTCGATGTACGCTAGGCTTTAAAGAAGCTATACCCGATTATTTTGGACGTGAAACTAGCTGTAATCTTTCAGTTATATATTGTGTGGAGGAGAGCATAGGGGAAATGAGAAGCCTGTGAGCGAGTTGGGGGCGGGGCTAAACACTCAAACCTGCAGAAACGGGTATAGCTCCTTTAACTTGTTACAGCCCTACCTCCATTGAAATGTTGCTATAATAATCCATAGTATGAAGTTACTTACTTAGTTCCACAGATTTAAGCATAGAACTCTCTCAACAAAAAGATCATGAATTACTTGGTAAAGTAAGTGTATCATTAAACATCTTGTAAATCGTTCTTTTTTCTCTCAGCTATTTGTAAAACAGCCTCTTCTAATCCACTGCCAGCCACTTTTTTATTCCACCAGTTAAAGATGTTTGCTACATTTGTAAGTCTGTCCCTAATCCCACACCGCCGTCTGCCGCCGCCATCGCCGCCACCGCCTCGCAGCGTTTGGCCTTTCTCACAGCCGCAAATTGATTTCTCATCTTTTCTAAACACCCTAATCCTCTGGGAGATTCACAGCAGTAGCTGCTGCTGCTGCCTCTGCCTGGGAGGACTCATTTCAACAGGATTATGAGAAAGTCGTTTTTTTGAAGAGGTTACAGTTTGTTGTTTTGCAGACGTCGATTCAAACCTGCTTCAGTTCAAACTGTGGTTCTTAGTTTGGTTGTGTGACAAATAACAGGTGATCATCCAAGACACTCGACATTCAACAACAATTATTAACATTTATTAACATTGGTCATCAGCCCCTTATGGACCAATGGCTCTGTGTGTTTTGATAATTGCATTCTCTGATCTGTGTTGGTGAATCGACAGTTGTGTAAAGTCCCTCAGAGATATACAAAAATAAAGGGTTTTTGCTGGATCAGATTGTGCCCGAGGATTAAGAGCGCAGAGCTGAAAACTAGGGCTCCCTGATTAAATCAAATTCCATCCATCCATCCATTTTCTTCCGCTTCATCCGTTGCCGGGTCACGGGGGCAGCAGTCTAAGCAGAGACATAGTCCCTCCAGCGTGTCCTGGGTCTTCCCCGGGGCCTCTTCCCGGTGGGACGTGCCCGGAACATTAAATCAAATTGAAAAAGCTATTTTTGTGGCCGTAATGACTCGCGATCAGCAAATCCAAGTCTTAGCCATTTTAATGCAAATACTTTTTAGTTCATTTATGACACAGACTGGTTGCCTCGCTTCTGCCAGTGTGCCCCAGGGCAGCTGTGGTTACAGTAGTAGATTATCAGCACTGTACGGAGTGAATGAATATTGCCATGTGAAGCGTCTTTGAGTGTCTAAAAAAACTATATAACAGAAGAAAATGACATTTGCTTGTGTGGTAAAAATAGATACTGGGAAAGTAATGAATAATGCATGCAGTCGATAAGAGATTCATAGCTTCACATTTGGGATGTGGAGTTGTTTTGGCCTCTGTACTCTCTCTCCTTACTCTTTTACAGCCTCTCCTTACAGTCACATATGAAGCACTTTTATATTGTTCACAGATCAGGCTGTTAATTGTATTCTTGAGTGCATTAGTGGTAAATGTCCAGCAGGTGGCAGTATTTACTTCTTGTGGTCACATACATGAAAAATGCTTTATTCTTCGTAGTACTTTAATTACAACTCAAACACATGGTCATTTATGGAGGGCTCGTTCCATAATACAAGCTATAAAACAACACATCTGTTCAAGTACAAGCCTCTCTCCACATTTTCAGGAAGACTGTTACAGATTTTTCAGCGAGCACTTATGAAAATACCTGATTAAGCTTCAGTTCTCTATTCTTAACATGGATACTAGCCCTGAACTGCTGGAATAAAATGTATAGAAAACGTTCCAAATACTTGTGAAATATTCTAATCGTCCTAATCTAGTAGTGTAAAGTAGCAGCATCTTCGTTACTGGTTCTAGTCACATTCCTCAGTTCTCTTCGCCCGACAAACAAGCTGAACAATCTGTTTCCTGTACTTTTAGTTATTTATACTTGTCTGGTGCCCTCTGGAGACTCAACTCTCTCCAAAGAACATCTGATTCCCGTCTCCTCTGAGTCTCGCTCCTGGACATATGTTCTGTTTTCATCACCAACAGTCTCTCTCTTGTCTTGTTCATGAAGCCTCAGCTCCTCCAGCTCCTCCAGCCCGAGGCCCAGTCACGCAGACCCCAGTCACAGGGCACACGTTCGGGATGATCTGTGGCGTGACTAAAGCTTCTCTCGCTCTGTTTGTTTGTGATCAGAGTCCGGACGATCTGCTGACGCTCCGCCAACACTGGTCAACGCCGCGGACCCACCGGAGCCAGCGCCATGGCAGGTCAGTTCTGTGCTCTGTCTGCTGCTGAGGGGGTCATGGTGAGCCAGAGGGAAAGGAAGCGAGTTATGGACTTGTCTGGTGCACACTGGGGACGTTTGTGCGTTTATTCCAATGGGGTTATACTGCAAAAGGCAAAGAAATTGAATTTTTTATTATTTTTATTATCATTATTAGTATTAGTATTTTTTTATTTGTATTCTCGCTCCCGACAGGAGTGAGGGGATCAGGGGAGGGGCTCATTTTCTTCTTTAGAAATCATGGGTTTAGAAAATGGATTAGAAGTCAGGATTTAGGAGACCAATGGTAGTTTCAAACTGACTTTATTTAATTTACTGTCCTCAAAATCTATTTTTGCAGAAAGAAGAACATTCTAATAAATAAAACAAATTGAGAAATTGAATCTGAATCTGAATACTCAGGACAAGGCAAGTTTATTTGTGTAGCACAGTTCATAGCCAGGGCAACTCCAAGTCCTGAACACAACAGGATCACACAAAGCATTAAAATCACAAATATTCACTGTACAGTATAAAGGGTGATCCTACAGTCGTCTGTTTTTAACCTGGATATGAACATAAGAAAACATAACAAGAGGCAAGTATAAAGTACTGTGTGTTCTAGTGTTCAAACTGTAGTTATGTCAGAGGCAGGCTCAGCTGTTCTCATTGTACAGTCTGACAGTACTGTATGTTTATGTACTTATGTAATGTGTGTGTGTTGTCAGGCACATACACCCCAGCCCCCGGAGGGCCCTTCTCCGCACTGACGCCCAGCATGTGGCCCCAGGACATTTTAGCCAAGTACCACCAGGTCGGTAACGGGTTATTCTTATGGCACATGATCAGATGATTGATGATTAAAGTGAATGAAATGCTGTTTTTGTTTCTAAATGAATCACGTGTTTGTGTTTGCAGAAAGAGCGTTCAGAGCAGCCTGAGGTCCAGTATGACGAGTTTGGCTTCAGAGTGGACATTGAAGGTATTCCATTCCTCACTCCTATTCAGTAAAATTTCGGTCTTTTTTTCAATAATTGCAAAAACTTTGTTGCGGAATTTTTGTACAGACCAAGAGCATTGACATTTAAAAGAAGGTAATACTAATAATAATACATTTTATTTCTTAGGCACCTTTCTTGACACTCAAGGTCGCCTTACATACAAGTAAAGTGCATTTTAAAAACAGTTAAAACACAAAATACAGCCCAGAGCTGTAATACAGTCACAGTGTGAGTTCATTCTTTAGTAAAAGTGACATATACAGAGAAAAGGGCCACGTCAGCCACCCCAGCTGGCAGCGCTCTGACGCCATCTGCCCTGCATCTGCCGCTCCTCATGTCTGTTTTACGAGACATTAAATGGAGTAAACAAAGAATAACTACTTCAGATATTAATGAAATCAGGTCCTCATTGATGGCAAGTAGCTCGAGGCTGTACTTTATGCTTCTAAACTCAGATACACTGGTAAAGAAACAGTCAGGACCTGGAACATGCAGTTCTATGTCATTGAAACAGAACCAGAGTCTGTCGGCCTCGCTGCACAGAGCCATACTGAGCTCTGTCCTTGGGTCAGACTGTATAATTAATCTCAGGTAGAATACACTTTAAAACACATTTCCTGTTTCTTTGCAAATGAAATAAAACGTGTTAAAACGATTCGCCATTTAACCTTGATAAATATTTGGAAAAGTTTTATATCGCTCCATGTGGACATTGTTTGCTCGTTCCCACCGAGCCCATCTCAAACCCATGTCCCTATCTGATCCTACAGTAACTTTGGCTACAGTTATTACTTTGACTTTTCTTAAAGCTTCTTAAAGCCATCACATGCTGTCTTAAGGTGAGTAACTAAAGAGAAGTGAGGAAATAGATTTTATTGAAGCTGGCTGATTGTTCCAGTCTTCAGGGGCTCTTTAGCAAAAAGCCTATCTCCCAATCTCTTTATTTATTCTGGGAGTAATGAAGGTGGAATAATGCAGGAGGTAGATCCCACCAGATGTTCTTGGAGATGGGGGGCGCATTGACTACAATCATTGACACATTTAAAGATAAAAATGTAGCCTGCAGTGAGTCCAAATGGTCATAAAGAGTGCAATGGTAAGTCATAAAAGGACTTTTTAGAACAAATCTAAAGCATTGTAAGTAAAGTTGTTTTGACTCTGTAATGGACATTTTCCTGTCTTAGTGGTGAAAAACCGACAAAACGCCAACCTTTACCACTGCATTGTAACACAAATATCCAGGTCTACAGTGCGTATAGGCCTTTAGTCTTTGACATCTCTGTGTGTTGCAGAAGGCGTAGAGGCCCAGAGCTTCATGAGCAGTGAGGGCTCTCCGCAGCGGGAGGACCCCCAGCAGAGGCTGCGGTGGCAGGCCCACCTGGAGTTCACCCACAACCACACAGTGGGAGACCTGACCTGGGACCTGATCTCCCCCAGCCTGCCCCGCTCCGACAGGCTGCGCACACTGGTGCTGGGGGGGATTCCTCACAGCATGAGGCCACAGGTATCTGAGGGGTGATGATTATGATTATGATTATAAAATGTTATTTACGTAGATTTTTAATAACATTTTTTATCCATGCCCAATTCTATGTTTACTTTTATAACTTGTTTGCCTGTTTGTTGTAATTCCCTAGTTCAGTGTCTCCCAGTGGGGTCCGCGGCCTATCAATTGTTAAATTGATAATATTTTGTTTGTAATATTAAAATATTTGTGTTCATTATTTGACTTGAATAATCAAATTGTAATCATTTTTGTATAACAAGATGGGGTGTGTCCTTTACATGTTTGTAGCAGAAGCTATTTCCCCCAAATACAATAACACGAAGAGCCTATTTTTTAACGCTGTCTTTTTGGTTAGTATTTCGGGGGGCCGCGATGATACTGACTTTGGGAATGGCTGCTCTAGTTTGTGACTTCCTGTTACTCTCAATGACAATTTGAATGTCCTGGTCAGCTGTGGATGCGTCTGTCGGGAGCGCTGCAGAAGAAGAGAACCTCAGAGATTTCCTACAGAGAAATCACAAAGAACAGCTCCAACGACGACTGCTCCACCTCCAAACAGGTCCCAGTTCACACCAGTTCAGACCAGTTCAGACCAGTTCACACCAGTTCACACCAGTTCACACCAGTTCACACCAGTTCACACCAGTTCAGACCAGTTCAGACCAGTTCACACCAGTTCACACCAGTTCAGACCAGTTCAGACCAGTTCAGACCAGTTCACACCAGTTCAGACCAGTTCAGACCAGTTCAGACCAGTTCAGACCAGTTCAGACCAGTTCAGACCAGTTCACACCAGTTCAGACCAGTTCAGACCAGTTCACACCAGTTCACACCAGTTCAGACCAGTTCACACCAGTTCAGACCAGTTCAGACCAGTTCAGACCAGTTCAGACCAGTTTACCCCAGTTTACCCCAGTTTACCCCAGTTTACCCCAGTTTACCCCAGTTTACCCCAGTTTACCCCAGTTCAGACCAGTTCACACCAGTTTACACCAGTTTACACATTCCCACTGCTCCGTTCCCTCAGATCGAGAAGGACCTGCTGCGGACCATGCCGTCGAACGCCTGCTTTAACAACATGAGCAGCGTGGGGGTCCCCAGGCTGAGGCGGGTTCTCAGGGGCCTCGCCTGGCTCTACCCTGATATCGGCTACTGCCAGGGCACGGGCATGGTGAGAAGATTCCACAACTCTGCTCTCTTTTCATATCTCAACTCTGCTCTCTCTAAGGTTAAGATTTAGATTTAGAGATTGTATTTGTCCCGTAGTGGAGAAATGTCAGTGTTGCTTCACCAGTTACAGAACGGTACGAACACGACAATAACTGATCAAATAAAATCCAATCTCTAACTTTAGCATAATAAAGAAGATGGAACTATGTATTAAAATCCTTCTATGACATGTGGCTCACCCTCAGAACAGTTTGGTTCAATCTCTATTTTTCACACACACATTTTGTGTCTGAAAAAGCTGATCTAAAGACGTGACCGAGAGGACCACCCTCTCAGCCAATCAGCTCTCTGCCCAAAGTGTCCAAAAGTGACTCTGAGGGCTCTTCCAAGTCTGCAGAAGATGGAATGTTTTGTGTTAAGACTAAGAGGGCATGTTGTACTCTTTCTGTTGAGACAAATCAAATATATTATTCATGTTATGAAGTTATGAGCCCCAGCTTTACAATAAAAAAAAAAAAAAAAAAAGTATTACTAAATAAAACATCTCTATCGTATCTAATCTTTTAAAATGTGTGAAAGTCATGTTGCTGGTTTCTGATTCGTTCTGGTGGGAAAGATAGACGGGCTGTGACGAGCTGCTTCCTGTGGTTGATGTCTGCAGAGGCATCAGCACAAAGAGAGCCTTCTCCAGTGGATCTCTGCTGGATCCTCTCGGTTCAGACTCTGAATCCTCTCAGCTCTGCTCTGCTCTGGATCTGCTCTGGATCTGCTCTGGATCTGCTCTGGATCTGCTCTGGATCTGCTCTGGATCTGCTCTGGATCTGCTCTGGATCTGCTCTGGATCAGTGTAAAACCATCAACAATGCGTTCTCCAACCTTTTCCAATTGGAGAGCTACTGTACTTTTATGAAACCCAAATGGCAGAGAGCTCCTCCTTTTAGCAGTCGTAATGCAGTTAAGTCTATGTGATAACTGCAGAGGATCATGGAGAACACAAGCATGATGTCGTCATAGCGTGCAGTAAATGAAAATATGTATCATTAAAATAGATTTGTAAAGACTTATAAGTGAATTAAGGATCATGTGTTAAATTCTTGAATCCTTTGGGGAGCCACCTGTAAGGGGGTGGCGAGCTACAGGTAGCTCCCGAGTCACAGGTTGGAGTTCCCAGTTATACAGTTAGAAAAGCAAGAAATATAACAATTGTAAAACACAAAACAACAGTTTCAGAGCTACTTTGGGCTTGCTGCTGTTTCCATCGCATTCAAAAGATTATAATATATTCAATCTCAATTTCACAGCAGTAGTTATCTCGGAGGACTTTATAAAAATGTCGAATTCGTCGACACAGATCTGAGAATCAAACCGTTCAAACACAAGAAATGCAATGATAAAAAGGTATAGAGCCATTGGTCCATAAAGGGCAGAGACCAATGTCATGAATGTGGTTAAAAGATGACTCCAGCGTTTGCAGTGGGAAACACATGTTTTACAGCTGCCCAGACCTTCAGACTGCCTCCCTCTGGTCCTCAGGTGGTGTCGTGTCTGCTGCTGTTCGTGGAGGAGGAGGACGTGATGTGGATGATGTGTGCGCTGATAGAGGACCTCCTCCCTCCTGCGTACTTCTCCTCCTCTCTGCTGGGGGTGCAGACGGACCAGAGGGTGCTCCGCCAGCTCCTGGTGCAGTACCTGCCGGCGCTGGACCGCCTGCTGCAGGACCACGACATCGGTGCGAGCTTCTCTGCAGCTGCACACATCATGCACCACCCACTGTTCTGTTATCCATGTCACATGGTTCCCTCGTCGTAAACACACCTGGTTTGTTTTTGCTAACATCAGGAACATCTGGCACAAACCTGTTAAAGTCTCAGTCCAATGATGTCATTGTACTACTACGACACTGCGCGTGTTTTCTACTTTTTTTTAAAGTATTTTTTAGTATTGTCCCTATAGTTTTTTGTGAATATGAAGTTCTATGTCATTGTTTGCAGCAGGTCCTTTTCAAATTTGCGAAACCATTTCAACCCCTCCGACTGCTGATGGCAGAGTTACAGATGGAATGCATGTTTTTTCCCATTACTTGTTTCTATAAAATGTATTATTTCAGGGTCAATGTGCAGACCATAATAAATGTGGCATTTTATTGTCCGTTCTTCTCTTCCTCCATGCCTTTGAATAATATGAGGGACATGAATCGCAAAATATGGCAGAATCAAATTGCAATACCGACTGAATCGCACATTTTTCCCTTCTCCTCCTGACCTGATCTTGTTGTGTTGCTGTGTCGCTGTCCTCACAGAGCTGTCTCTGATCACGCTGCACTGGTTCCTCACCTCCTTCGCCAGCGTGGTGGACATCCGGATGCTGCTCAGGATCTGGGACCTGCTCTTCTACCAGGGCTCTCTGGTTCTGTTCCAGATCACTCTGGGCATGCTCAAGATCAAGGTACAGCAAACTGTCTCCTGCCACTGCACACATCTGTACAGAGTGAGACAAAAGGAAAGGGTTTGTCACAGTGTCCTCTGGTGCCCTCTGGTGCCCTCTGGTGCCCTCTGGTGCCCTCTGGTGCCCTCTGGTGCCCTCTGGTGCCCTCTGGTGCCCTCTGGTGCCCTCTGGTGTCCTCTGGTGCCCTCTGGTGCCCTCTGGTGCCCTCTGGTGCCCTCTGGTGTCCTCTGGTGTCGTCTGGTGTCCTCTGGTGCCCGAGTGCACGCCACAAATTACTTTAAATAATTGGTGGTGGGTGCACGTTAAACTGATCCTAACTAAGGCCCTGTCCACACGAAGTCAAGCTCAGGCCTAAACGCAAAAATACTTTATCAATCCAGTGTATCGTCCATACGAGGCCGGCGTTTTGGGGGGGTGTAAACGAACATTTTTGAAAGTAGGTCCCAGAGTGGAAAGATTTCAAAACTCCGTATATGCCGCTCCGTGGTTACTGCCTCTCCGCAATGTATCTGAGACGCTTGCGTCATCGCCCCGCCTCTTGTTAAAGCACGCATGCGCCGCACTCAGAAAATAATGACAACAACAATGTAGCTTGTTGGTTTTGTAATCCAGTGCGACCCGAAGCAACAGTTCAACCTCATCGTCCGTCCATACTAATGTAGTACCAGCTCGCCCACTCGCCATGTTGTCTGTTTACAAAATTCTGCGCATGCCCAGTTCCCGTCACGGAAGTTTGGGCTTGATCCCGTCATTGCGTCACAGCGCCACCAACAGGTCTGGCATAGTTTCACAGCGTTTTCAGGCGTATTGACTACATTCATATGGACGCACACATTTACTGAGCTAACTCCGTGTTTACAGAAAAAGTTTCTGAAATTATAAGCGTTTTGTCTTCGTGTGGATATAGCCTAAGACTCCCGCAATTATGAAACTACAAGAACCCAAAAAATGTTCAAGTAATCTTTAAGGTTTTCAACTTTAGTATTGATGATTTGGACTTAAAGGACAACTCACCCTCAATCTTTTTTTTGCTGATAAACGGTATAAATGAGTGTCCAATAGTGTTGTCTACATATCCTGGTCATATTTTTGTCACTTTGGTGCAAATTAGTTGAAAGTTAAACTTTCTGCCTAAAACCGTCTGTGAGGCGCCATCTGCTGGCGACCTGTATTACTACATTTGAATTTTGAATCTGGCGCCAACACTGGCGCGGCAGCAAGACCTGACGTCTGCAGCAAGACCTGACGTCTGCAGCAAGACCTGACGTCTGCAGCAAGACCTGACGTCTGCAGCAAGACCTGACGTCTGCAGCAAGACCTGACGTCTGCAGCAAGACCTGACGTCTGAAGCAAGACCTGACGTCTGCAGCAAGACCTGACGTCTGCAGCAAGACCTGACGTCTGAAGCAAGACCTGACGTCTGAAGCAAGACCTGACGTCTGAAGCAAGACCTGACGTCTGAAGCAAGACCTGACGTCTGAAGCAAGACCTGACGTCTGAAGCAAGACCTGACGTCTGAAGCAAGACCTGACGTCTGAAGCAAGACCTGACGTCTGAAGCAAGACCTGACGTCTGAAGCAAGACCTGACGTCTGAAGCAAGACCTGACGTCTGAAGCAAGACCTGACGTCTGAAGCAAGACCTGACGTCTGAAGCAAGACCTGACGTCTGAAGCAAGACCTGACGTCTGAAGCAAGACCTGACGTCTGAAGCAAGACCTGACGTCTGAAGCAAGACCTGACGTCTGAAGCAAGACCTGACGTCTGAAGCAAGACCTGACGTCTGAAGCAAGACCCGACGTCTGAAGCAAGACCCGACGTCTGAAGCAAGACCCGACGTCTGAAGCAAGACCCGACGTCTGAAGCAAGACCCGACGTCTGAAGCAAGACCCGACGTCTGAAGCAAGACCCGACGTCTGAAGCAAGACCCGACGTCTGAAGCAAGACCCGACGTCTGAAGCAAGACCCGACGTCTGAAGCAAGACCCGACGTCTGAAGCAAGACCTGAAGCAGACCGACGTCTGAAGCAAGACCCGACGTCTGAAGCAAGACCCGACGTCTGAAGCAAGACCCGACGTCTGAAGCAAGACCCGACGTCTGAAGCAAGACCCGACGTCTGAAGCAAGACCCGACGTCTGAAGCAAGACCCGACGTCTGAAGCAAGACCCGACGTCTGAAGCAAGACCCGACGTCTGAAGCAAGACCCGACGTCTGAAGCAAGACCCGACGTCTGAAGCAAGACCCGACGTCTGAAGCAAGACCCGACGTCTGAAGCAAGACCCGACGTCTGAAGCAAGACCCGACGTCTGAAGCAAGACCCGACGTCTGAAGCAAGACCCGACGTCTGAAGCAAGACCCGACGTCTGAAGCAAGACCCGACGTCTGAAGCAAGACCCGACGTCTGAAGCAAGACCTGACGTCTGAAGCAAGACCTGACGTCTGAAGCAAGACCTGACGTCTGAAGCAAGACCTGACGTCAGCAGCCCCCCGCCCAGAGCAATGTAAACGGCCCAGTCTCGTTCACGCCCCCTTTAGTCCTCCAGGCCACGCCCATTTAGAGGAAGATTTGAACAGGAAATGTGAGTGACGTAAGCTCCGAGGAGCGGGGGTGAGAACCACTTTAAGTTGGTGAACTGATAAAACAGTTTGCTAAATGCTAACTGCTGACAGTAAACTGTGTGTTGCTATGGTAACTAGCAGTGGCTCTTCCCTGATGGAAAATAACTGTTCTGGGAGCTAAAAGGAACTTCTCACATGTAGAAAATAAATGACCATTTTTGAAAATTACAATGACATAATAATTAACTACATATGGAAACAGAAAAAGTCACAAAGTTATGTAGACCAAATGTACGTACGCCCAGTCATTGACTCTAACAAAACATTTTAAAAGCCGTCATATTGACTGCTCTTGAAGTTCTGGTGTTTTCTTATTTCCTTGCATATTATCTGCGAGTCAGAGCGTGCGGTTAAACCAAATTATAACACATCCATGGGTAAACCTGTAGCACCTCGGCGTTGTGTTTGCAGGAGGCCGAGCTGGTGGCGTCGGAGAACTCTGCGTCCATCTTCAACACGCTGTCAGACCTGCCCCTGCAGCTGCGTGAGGCGGCCGCTCTGCTGGGGGAGTCCATGAGGCTGGCGGGGGGGCTGTCCCAGGACACGCTGGAGGCTCACAGGCACAAACACCTGGCCTACATCCTGAACGAACAGAACCAGCTCAGCAACGGCAACACGGGCCTCAGCAGCGGCATCAACAAGGTGAGATGTAGAGAGAAGGAGAATGTAGGCTGGGTAGTTTTAGTTTAACTTGTAGGAAATTAAATTATTATTTAATCTACGGTACTTTTATTTGGCTGTTTCATAACCACTTGCTCTGGGACTACAGGTGTATTCGTCTCTCCTGCTACAACCTGCTTTAGGTCATGTTTATTGTTCACTGTCCCTGTAAAAATAAACTCATACCATACCACAGCTGTACCTTGTATGGCGAGGACATTTACAGGGGAAGGGGCGGGACTTGGCAAACATGTGACAATTCACTAGTATCGCATTGTTTGGGCCACAATTCAATTCGTTAGTTTTGCGATTTGATTCTGTGATATATTACATTGTTCTAAAGCAGTACAAAAAAGAGAAAACTAAGACATCAAATATCATTTACATTTTTTATGGTCTGCAGATTCACTGAAGAGCAAACACTTTGCTCTTCAGGGAGGGTAGTGCAAAACAGGACCTTATAAACAAACAAGACATTATTATTCAGACGGCCGCTCACATGAAGGCGAGCTCCCAACACAATACTTTCAATTATCGTTATTCAAGAGTCTTATAAACCTCAGATGTAAACTCAGAGAAAACACAAATAGTATTTTATTAATTATCACAATTCTTGCTCTACTGTAAAGTGTATTTAATTGTCGACGCACTGTTTCCCCATACTGAGTGTGTGGTGCAGGTGGTCACTGTTTCCCCATACTGAGTGTGTGGTGCAGGTGGTCACTGTTTCCCCATACTGAGTGTGTGGTGCAGGTGGTCACTGTTTCCCCATACTGAGTGTGTGGTGCAGGTGGTCACTGTTTCCCCATACTGAGTGTGTGTTGCAGGTGGTCACTGTTTCCCCATACTGAGTGTGTGTTGCAGGTGGTCACTGTTTCCCCATACTGAGTGTGTGTTGCAGGTGGTCACTGTTTCCCCATACTGAGTGTGTGTTGCAGGTGGTCACTGTTTCCCCATACTGAGTGTGTGTTGCTGGTGCAGGTGGTCACTGTTTCTCCATACTGAGTGTGTGTTGCTGGTGCAGGTGGTCAGGAGGCAGTCGCTGCGCAGGAAGTCCACTCTGAGCTCGCTGCTGTTCGGAGACGACGAGGCGGACGCTCTCAAGTCCAAGAACATCAAACAGACCGAGCTGGTGGCCGCGCTCCGGGACGCCATCACCCGCACGGCACGGCACTTCCACTGCCTGGACCCCCGCCACAGCAGCACGGTGAGGGCCCCACACACACACACAGCAGCACGGTGAGGGCCCCACACACACACACACACACACAGCAGCACGGTGAGGGCCCCACACACACACAGCAGCACGGTGAGGGCCCCACACACACACACACACACACACAGCACCATGGTGAGGGCCCCACACACACACACACACAGCAGCACGGTGAGGGCCCCCCACACACACACAGCAGCACGGTGAGGGCCCACACACACACACACACACACACACACACACACACACACACACACACACACACACACACACACACACACACACACACAACACAGCAGCACGGTGAGGGCCCCACACACACACACGCAGCAGCACGGTGAGGGCCCCACACACACACACGCAGCAGCACGGTGAGGGCCCCACACACACACACAGCAGCATGGTGAGGGCCCACACACACACATGTACTGGGAGAATAGCACAGTGAGGACCGCAGACGCCCATGAAGCACATGTGAACTACGAACAAATTCCCAAAACAATTAGTTGCCTGACTAAAGCTTTGTTACCAAATAAGTCAGTGCTTGTAAGAAAGTATCAGTGAGTTTTATTTATAAACCAGAGCAGACCTTTCACAGACCAGAGTCACACAGTGCTTAATGTGTTCCAAGTAATCACCAAGTAACCGGAGTAAGACCCGTTAAAGACTTATGAATGTGAACAGCAGTTGTTTCCTCCGCCGCAGGACCTGACTCCAGACTACTCCATGGAGAGCCACCAGCGAGACCACGAGAACTTCCTGATGGTGTCCAGGAACCGGAGGAGGCGGGCTAAAGCGCTGCTGGACTTTGAGCGCCATGACGACGACGAGCTGGGATTCAGGAAGAACGACATCATCACCGTACGCCGCCCACGACACACTCAACACAACACAAGAATCTGCTCAAAAAGGCTCTTTAGTAAACCCTTCACATGTAGAATGGTGCTCATATAGGTTGCTTTTGTTCCAAAAGAGCCAATACTTTAAAACTGGGTTCCCCAACCTTTTGATCCAAACATGAAACTCTTCAGCTTTTATTAAAAAATAACAAAGTAATTCTTATCAAAGTTTGTTATATAGATAATAAAACAAGCACAAAAATAGTCTGGGAGACCTTTGGAGGCACTTTCCCTAAAACCTGTCTGTGTGTGTGTGTGAAACACACACACACAGTTTTTATCCTATGTCCCCTAAAATCTTGAATAATCTCTGAAACAGTCAGAACTCTGACTGTAAGTCAGTGTCCAGAGGTGGGGCCAAAATGTCTGTTCTAAAACCTCTGTTTCTTCTGTAGATCGTGTCTCAGAAGGATGAGCACTGTTGGGTGGGAGAGCTCAACGGACTCCGAGGTGGGGGCTTTTCTTTTTTCAACTTAAACTGAGGGCTCAGGAGCCTGATAGAAACAATGGGCAGTATCTGGTCCACGGGCCACAGTTTGTCCTCCACTGGTCTACATCAAGGAAACGCTAATCTACTTCATAACTTTATATTATGAAGCACTTACATTGTAAAACAGGCCATTGTTTCAGACATTAGTGTAAATGGAACACACACATGCACAATGGAAGTTCATAAAGACCTTGAAATAATTAGTATAGTATGATCATATTTTTATGTGTCAAAATGGTTATAATATTTGTTTTGAAACACACTTTCAGGGTGGTTTCCTGCTAAGTTTGTGGAAATCCTGGATGAGAGAAGCAAAGAGGTAAGAATACTGATACTCTATACATACAACTATATATTTCTTGCACTAGAATATACAGGATATTATGATCTCTTCTTTATTATGCTAAAGTTAGAGATTATATTTTATATTTTATAATAGTATAGAGTTATTGTTCACTTGTGCTGTGTGCTCCTCATTACCACTGTCCTGTAATTGGTGATGCAACACTGACATTCTCTTGATATGAACTTGACTGTATCTGCTGCAGTACTGTCTCGCGGGGGACGACTCGGTCACTGAGGCCGTCACAGACCTGGTGCGGGGGACTTTGTGTCCAGCGCTCAAGGCCATCTTCCACCACGGCCTGAAGAAGCCGTCCATCCTGGGAGGACCGTGCCACCCCTGGCTGTTCATCGAGGAGGTGGGCTGCAGCACGAGCCGTACGCCCCTGTGTGTGTGATGTGTGTTCTGTAGTGGACTATAATGTGCTTTGTACTTTGTCCAGGCCGCGAGCAGAGAAGTGGAGAGGGACTTCAACTCTGTGTACTCCAGACTGGTGCTGTGTAAGACCTACAGGTGAACATCTGCACCGTCTGCACCGACTGCATGTGTCTGACTGAGAAGTTTACTAAATCAGTTTCATTACTTGATAAAACTAGGTTGGATGAAGATGGAAAAGTTCTAACCCCAGAGGAGCTGTTGTATCGAGTGAGTATGTTGTTCTGTCCTGTTGACGCCTCAAAAGGCAGGGGAAGTTTAATTGTACAGCAGTTCGTTGCCATGGTGATAGTTGCCATGGTTGTTGCCATGTAACGGTTGTCATAGTGATGGTTGCCATGGTAATGTTTGTTATAGTGACAGTTCCCATGGCAACCACTGCTAGGGACGGAGCCTTTGTTTCCAGATGCTATGGTGATGGCAACGGTTGCTTAGGTAGTTACCACAGCAACGGTTGCTGAGGTATTTTCCATGGCAACGGTTGACCAGGTATTTCCCGTGGCAACTGTTGACGAGGTATTTTGCCATGGCAACGGTTGCCAGGGTAATGGTTGCTATGGTAGTTGCCATGGTAACCGTTGCTAGGGTAGTTGCCATGGTAACCGTTGCTAGTGTAGTTGCCATGGTAACCGTTGCTAGTGTAGTTGCCATGGAAAGTGTTGCTAGAGTAATTGCCATGGCATTGGTCACCATGGCAACTGTTGTCCCTGGGAACAATCACCATTGCAACTGACATTGCAGCAGTCACCATGGCAATGGTCGCCATGTTAACAGTTGCTATGGCAATCACTATGACTACTGTTATCCCAGGAAACCGTCACTATGGGAACAATTGGCATTGCAGCTGTAACATGACGACAAACAGTGATTTATTTTGTTTTAGTGCAAATTGCCATCGCTTTAACAAATGTTACCACGGCAACGCTTGCCGGAGTGACTGTTGCCATAGTGACTGAATGGAAAAATATTGCGAGACTGAACAGTGTCTTTATTTGTGACCGAAGCTTGAAAGCCATGAAGACGTGTGGCCAATGTTCACATTTCAGTTCACATTCAGTCGTGTCGTCTGCTGCAGCTCAAAGTTCACCGCTGTGCAGTGGTTAAAAACAAACTTATCACTGGATTTTAGATCTTTAATAATGATGTGAGCTCAAACAACAGACACTGACCTGAAAGCCTCTTCATCATGGTTTCACTCAAACACTGCTTTCAGAGGATGATGATGATGATGATGATGTGCTCCTCAGGCCGTGCAGTGTGTGAACATGAGCCACGACTCTGCACACGCTCAGATGGACGTCAAGTTCAGGTCCCTGATCTGCGTCGGCCTCAAGTAAGACTCTCTATCTCTTACATGCGCGCACACACACACACACACACACTGTACTGATGTGATGTCAGAATGTAAGTGTGTGTACTGATCATAGACTGTATATATTAACGGACAGAGTCACGCCTATCTCTGCCGTTCTAACTAATGGGCCAAAACATTTGCTCTACTGGAGCTATCCAAAATGGCCGTGAGTGGTCCCGCCCACAAGAAAATTGTGAAAAAACGCATCTGTGCATGTGTCAGCCGGAGCAGCTCCATTCATTTGAACGAGAGACTAAAAAGTCCACAGCGACTAAACTAGACTGGTCCAGAACACTCAGCATTGACACACATGTGGAACGGAGCTTTGGGCCAAGAGCCACTTTTGGACCATCCTGTAAAGACGTTTTCCAGAGGTAAGAAGATGCTATATGTTAGCATTGGCTAATTCTTATTCTGGGTCCACCCCCACAGGCCCGGGGTGGTATTGCAGCATGTCAGCGCACGTCATTTTGTTTTTTTTCACTTTTGAGCCGAAACCCGCCCCCACTGGTACTGATGTGATGTCAGAATGTAAGTGTGTGTGTGTAGTGATGGGATGTTGTGTGTCAGTGAGCAGGTGCTGCACCTGTGGCTGGAGGTGCTGTGCTCCAGTATGGCTGTGGTGGAGAAGTGGTACCAGCCCTGGTCCTTCCTGCGGAGTCCAGGCTGGGTCCAGATCAAGTGTGAGCTCAGGTTAGTGTCCTGTGTGGTCATGTGACACACACAGCTGCTGAGGTGTGTCCTGTGTGGTCATGTGACACACACAGCTGCTGAGGTGTGTCCTGTGTGGTCATGTGACACACACAGCTGCTGAGGCGGGAAAAACATTTGTTGTTTTGTTTTCAGGGTCTTATCAAAGTTTGCCTTCAGTCTGTCCCAGGACTGTGAGCTCCCCGACAAGGGAGAGGTGAGTCCAGAGTGATCTGTGTGTGTGTGTGTGTGTGCGTGTGTGTGTGTGTGTGTGTGTGTGTAATTATGTGCCTGTTCCAGACCAGAGGTCTCAGAGCCGACGTAGTGGACGTGCTGGTCCAGCACCACCTCTTTAGTTGGGACCTCTAGGTAACTGTGGAGCTCTGGGCTCTGCTCTGGCACCTGCTTTCATCTCACTCTTGTCCCGTGTCGAGCACATTTAATCATGAGTATTGAGCAAAGTCCAGAGCGCTCTGTGGAGTCCTCACTGAGTCTTCAGGCTCAGTCTGGTTTGGACTTGGACTGGACTGGACTGGGTCAGTGAACCTGGAACGCTCCAGAATCTCAGAGACAGATGTGTCGTGTTTAATGTTGTATCGCAGCAATTTGAGTAAAACACAGACGTCCTTTTAGATTATTGGCCCCACAGTGGACATCAAACTTTAATGTCAGTGCGGCCCCCACTGAGAGAATGGGCACTTTTTATACATGGTTTTAAAGATAATTGTATCAAGAAAACAACCACAACATTGATTTCTTGCTTATTCCATCCAGGGTTCAAAGTAAACCTTATTAAAGCCAGTCTACAAAACAAAGCCTCAGCAGCAGCTGGACTCTTTTTGTTCATGGAAATATATCTAAAAAAACTTATTTTCAATCAAAATACCTTCATGATTTTAAAAAGTCAGATGCATAAAATGATCTATAAAACTTTCCACAAACGCTTCATTCTTGGTTTTCCTGTTTTTGTCTCAGTTCTACAACTACAAACCTTTACTTTCTCTGCTCCATCCATCCATTTTCTTCCCCTTAATCCATTTCTGGGTCGGGGGGATGGCCAGAGACACCACCCCTCACTGATCCTCTGCAGGCTCAAAGGCCAATGCTCTACCAACTGAGCCACTGTCGCCCCAACGTCCTTCTCTGCTGTTAAAGTGAAAGCGTTTGAAATGTAGCAGTTTATTATATTTATCCAGGAGATAAAGTGTGTGTGCAAAGTTAGTGTTTGATCCTGTCTCTGCGTGAGCATAGATCCGTTTGCTCCGATATTTATATATTTTACACACACACAAACTCATGATAAACATCGCCCTTAATGCGGCCCAGCTTCACCCAGACTCCAGCAGATGCATTGAGGTCGAGTCCCCTGGTTCAGACACTAGTGTAGCTGATGGTGTGAGCTCCACATGGTGTCCTTCCTGTTCGGCTCTGTGGGACACGCTGGTGTTTTAACGGTGTATTTAGTACTTTTCTGGTGGAGATACTTGTCGTCGTCCTCAGATGTAGTAACGGTCCTGTCCTGTGTGTGTTCGTCAGGAGAAGGAGCAGAGGCCTCTGAAAGAAGGAGTGCAGGACATGTTGGTCAAGCACCATCTGTTCAGTTGGGACATCGACGGTTAACCCACGACCTCCGCCTCGGCCTTTCACACCCGACTCCCAGAACCGGATCAAAGCAAGACCCCGTCCATGACTGACCGTCCATGACTGACCGTCCATGACTGACCGTCCATGACTGACTGACCGTCCATGACTGACTGACCGTCCATGACTGACCGTCCATGACTGACCGTCCATGACTGACTGACCGTCCATGACTGACTGACCGTCCGTGACATGACTGACCGTCCATGACTGACCGTCCATGACTGACCGTCCGTGACATGACTGACCGTCCATGACTGACCGTCCGTGACATGACTGACCGTCCATGACTGACTGACCGTCCATGACTGACCGTCCGTGACATGACCGTCCATGACTGACCGTCCATGACATGACCGTCCATGACTGACCGTCCATGACATGACCGACCATGACTGACCGTCCATGACATGACTGACTGACCGTCCATGACTGACTGACCGTCCATGACTGACCGTCCATGACATGACCGACCATGACATGACTGACCGTCCATGACATGACCGTCCATGACTGACCGTCCATGACATGACCGTCCATGACTGACCGTCCATGACATGACCGACCATGACTGACCGTCCATGACTGACCGTCCATGACATGACCGACCATGACTGACCGTCCATGACTGACTGACCATGACTGACTGACCGTGACTGACCGTCCATGACTGACCGTCCATGACTGACTGACCGTCCATGACTGACCGTCCATGACTGACCGTCCATGACATGACTGACCGTCCGTGACATGACCGTCCATGACTGACCGTCCATGACTGACCGTCCATGACATGACCGACCATGACTGACCGTCCATGACTGACCGTCCATGACATGACCGACCATGACTGACCGTCCATGACTGACCGTCCATGACATGACCGACCATGACTGACCGTCCATGACTGACCGTCCATGACTGACTGACCGTCCATGACTGACTGACCGTCCATGACTGACCGTCCATGACTGACCGTCCATGACTGACTGACCGTCCATGACTGACTGACCGTCCGTGACATGACTGACCGTCCATGACTGACCGTCCATGACTGACCGTCCGTGACATGACTGACCGTCCATGACTGACCGTCCGTGACATGACTGACCGTCCATGACTGACTGACCGTCCATGACTGACCGTCCGTGACATGACCGTCCATGACTGACCGTCCATGACATGACCGTCCATGACTGACCGTCCATGACATGACCGACCATGACTGACCGTCCATGACATGACTGACTGACCGTCCATGACTGACTGACCGTCCATGACTGACCGTCCATGACATGACCGACCATGACATGACTGACCGTCCATGACTGACCGTCCATGACATGACCGTCCATGACTGACCGTCCATGACTGACCGTCCATGACTGACCGTCCATGACATGACCGACCATGACTGACCGTCCATGACATGACTGACTGACCGTCCATGACTGACTGACCGTCCATGACTGACCGTCCATGACATGACCGACCATGACATGACTGACCGTCCATGACTGACCGTCCATGACATGACCGTCCATGACTGACCGTCCATGACATGACCGACCATGACTGACCGTCCATGACTGACCGTCCATGACTGACCGTCCATGACTGACTGACCGTGACTGACCGTCCATGACTGACCGTCCATGACTGACTGACCGTCCATGACTGACCGTCCATGACTGACCGTCCATGACATGACCGTCCATGACTGACTGACCGTCCATGACTGACCGTCCATGACTGACCGTCCATGACTGACCGTCCATGACTGACTGACCGTCCATGACTGACCGTCCATGACTGACCGTCCATGACTGACCGTCCATGACATGACCGTCCATGACTGACTGACCGTCCATGACTGACCGTCCATGACATGACCGACCATGACTGACCGTCCATGACTGACTGACCGTCCATGACTGACCGTCCATGACATGACCGACCATGACTGACCGTCCATGACATGACTGACCGTCCATGACTGACCGTCCATGACTGACTGACCGTCCATGACATGACTGACCGTCCATGACTGACCGTCCATGACTGACTGACCGTCCATGACATGACTGACCGTCCATGACTGACCGTCCATGACATGACCGTCCATGACTGACATGACCGTCCATGACTGACTGACCGTCCATGACTGACCGTCCATGACATGACCGACCATGACTGACATGACCGTCCATGACTGACTGACCGTCCATGACTGACCGTCCATGACATGACCGACCATGACTGACCGTCCATGACATGACTGACCGTCCATGACATGACCGTCCATGACTGACATGACCGTCCATGACTGACTGACCGTCCATGACTGACCGTCCATGACATGACCGTCCATGACTGACCGTCCATGACATGACCGTCCATGACTGACCGTCCATGACATGACCCGACCATGACTGACCGTCCATGACTGACTGACCGTCCATGACATGACTGACCGTCCATGACTGACCGTCCATGACTGACTGACCGTCCATGACATGACTGACCGTCCATGACTGACCGTCCATGACATGACCGTCCATGACTGACATGACCGTCCATGACTGACTGACCGTCCATGACTGACCGTCCATGACATGACCGACCATGACTGACCGTCCATGACATGACTGACCGTCCATGACTGACCGTCCATGACTGACCGTCCATGACTGACTGACCGTCCATGACATGACTGACCGTCCATGACTGACCGTCCATGACTGACCGTCCATGACTGACTGACCGTCCATGACATAACCGACCATGACTGACCGTCCATGACATGACTGACCGTCCATGACTGACCGTCCATGACTGACCGTCCATGACTGACTGACCGTCCATGACTGACTGACCGTCCGTGACATGACCGTCACGAGAATAAAAAGAGAAAAAAAAGAGAATAACTGCCCAAAGTCAGGACCCAGCAGACAACTTTCAACTTAATTCTCTCAAAAAGCCATATTATTGTCTGTGTTTTAAACACTGAACCCAAAATGCACCGGTCTAACAATACTTTTTATACTTTTTTACGTTCAGTTGAGATTTGATTCAATCCAAACAGAACAGAATTTAAGGAAAATCTACCAGAAAAAAATATCCAAACTCATGTTAAGTAAAAGTTATCCTTTGGTTAAATACCTCCATAATGGAATCCTGTATTAAATAAATAACTTATGATCATGATATTTTTTATCCACATATACAAAAACAGGACCTTTCCACTTTTCACTAAACATTTTGGATATTTTTGGTACAAATCCTATAAAAAAGTGAAACCCTGATCAAATACTAAAACTTTTTAGACGACAATTTATTTTTGGCTGTGTAAAATAGTTTGGACACCCCTGACTAACTTTAAGACTGGTTTATCTTGTTTCTGTCATTTTGTCTCCATTTTGAGGGAATAAGTCTCAAATAAGATGCAGTTGAATAATCCGGTCCAAAGCCATCGATAATCAGAAGTCTGCTTTCTTTGACCCATGTTACCAACGTCACTTATTTCTCTTCCCATAATGCACTGTGTTTTCCACAGGCTTCAATTCTACATCTTTGAAACTTGCACAGATGTTTTTCCCATATTTCACTTTCCAAAATGTCACGTGACATCAAAACAAGGCCTAAATATTTTCACATGAAATCGCAACGACATCAAATGGACCTGTCTCCTGCTCGAGCAAGAAATTAAACATTCCAAAAGAAATCTGTTACAAAATCTTGAAATAAATGTTTGAAAACTCGTCCTGCATACCTCAGAAAACACTTAAAAACTTTATAATCGTGTTGCCTTCTGAATCGTCACAAAGACACTATGGGTAGCATGTTACCATGGTAGCATGTTACCATGGTAGCATGTTACCATGGTAGCATGTTACCATGGTCTGTAAATAAAGTTATAAATATATGAAAAAGGAGATAATGTTGTTGGAGTAAATAAATGTTGTATTTCAGCTACAGTCGTCTTGTCTTTTCTCACAGCTGCAGGATTTAGCTCCAAAGAAAGTATTTATTCAGAGATTTACACACAGTGCTTTTTAGTTTAGTTTCAGTTTATTCTTCTTCACAATATCACACATTTGTTCATACATTGAGTTTGTAACTAATTTTGTGACACTGGGAAAAAGAAATGGACACCCTAGGAAGCTACACAAGCTTATGTACGGGGTCCAAAAATACAAAGTCAAACAAAAACAGATGGCATGAAACAGAGATTTGTTAAATTTGAGATAGGAAAATTAGAAGAGAAATGAAAAAAATACATATATACACACCCACGCCCACCTTCAGAGATCGTGTTTGTGTCATACATGGTATCGTTGTTTCTATGAAATTCAATGGTATATTCATAGTTAATACTGTTTTGTAAATTTATTTTTATTTTATAAGGTGTTATCACCACTATTGTTTTCTATTTACCGTTTATGTGTGCTTTCCCTTCCCTTAGTACAAGGAGATCAGTGGAGCCCAGGAGAGACTACCGTTTTAGTCAGAACAGTAGCGTCCTAAGAGCCACCGTCTGATATTTCTTTTAAACATGGCTAATGACAGAGACTGCTTGATGTCCTCGTCGAGCTCATGCCAGATACGAGGGCCCTTGCAGCAGATACTAAAGTTGGTAGATTTTAGTCTTCTGTTTTTCCCTTTTAGTTTGTATTTCTCTCTTGTGTCGTGTTGGTGTGAGGCTGTGGTCAGAGGGATGAGCTCACAGAGTCTGGGATTTAATTTGTGGACAACACTAAATATTAGACAAGCGTTTTGATACAAGTTAATTTCAGCAAGTTTTAAGAGGCCATATCTGTGGAAGAGAGGGTCTGAAGGAGCATAAAATGTGGACCATGTAATAGCTCGTATAGCTTTCTTTTGTAATATCTGGAGTGTTGCGGTGTAAGTAGGATAGGTGTTGTTCCAGATCACATTACAATAATTTAAATGTGGTTCAAATAGAGATCTGTACAGTGTTAACATTGCCTCTAAAGGAAGTTGATGTCTTAATTTATAAAATAAACCTACGTATTTGGATATTTTTTTCTCCAGTTCTTCAATGTGTTTTGTAAATTTTAGGGATTCATCTATATAAATTCCTAAGAATTTGGTTGAATCAACTCTTTGGACAGCCTTTCCGTCCATTTTGATGTTTACATTACCATCTTTATATCTATGTTTGATTGGGTGGAAGTTTATAAAAAAGGTTTTACTGACATTTAAGGACGGTTTATTTAATTTGAACCATAAAGCTACTTTTCCTAATTGGTAATTTAGTTGTTTTTCTAATTCTTTCATATTTTTATGAGCTGTAAAGAGGTTTGTATTGTCAGCAAAGAGTACTTTGTGCAAGTCGTTAGTGCAGAATACAAAATCATTTATATACATTATAAATACATTGACGGGCGACAGTAGCTCAGTTGGTAGAGCATTGGCCTTCAGGCCTGAAGGTCGTGGGTTCAATTCCCACCTCCTCACCTTCTCCACCGACTCCCACTGATGACTGCTGTCGTTGTGTCCTTGGGCAAGACACTTAACCCCACTTTGCCCAAATCCCCCGCTGAAAGATCAAGGCTATGCTCACAGTCAGAGAGCAGCCGTCCTCCTGTGGACTCACCACCTGCAGAGGGTCAGTGAGGGGCTGGTGCTATGAGACTTGGGTGGCATCTCTGACTGCCACCCCCCTGACCCAGAAATGGATTAAAGGGAAGAAAATGGATGGATGGATGGACATTATAAATAGAAGTGGTCCCATAATAGATCCTTGGGCGACGCCAGTTTCTAAGATTTTAGTATCAGAGTTCAGCCCGTCCACATGAACATACTGCTGTCTTCCACAGATATAACTTCTGAACCACTGAAGAGCGACTCCCCTGATACCGTAGTGCAGTAACTTGCTGAGCAGAATCTCGTGGTCAATGGTGTCGAAAGCCTTCGACAGGTCAAGAAAGACACCTATACCATACTCTCCTTTTTCAAACGCATCATTGATTTTTTCGATTAAATCTAATATCGCCATACAAGTGGTGCTGTTTTTTCTAAAGCCATATTGCGAGGGTACTAATATTTTGTATTTTTCTAAATAATTGCTAAGTCTGGAATACACAACTCTTTCAAATACTTTTGAGATAGTTGGTAGTATAGCTATTGGTCTATAGTTTTGAGTATCATTTTTATCCCCAGACTTATATATGGGTATTACTTTTGCAATTTTAGACGTTTTTGGGACTACACCTTTTTCTAGGGAAAGATTAATAATGTAAGCAAGAGGCTCGGCGATCTCAGTTGCTATAGCTTTAATAATTTTGCTACATATACCGTCAGCACCAGCTGTGTTGGACAATTTTAGTTTGTTTATGATGGTTAACACTTCCTCTCCACAGGTGGGTTTGAGATATAAAGAATTTGGATAATTTCCATGTAAGTAATGTTTGTAATTGGCGCCCCCTGGTGGGTTGATATTGTCGGATAGTGTTTTTCCAACTGAAGTAAAGTGATCATTAAAGACATTTGGTAAGGATTTTGTATTTTGTGGGTTCTGCACAGTGTCAGGGATGACTAATGTTTTATTATCGCGACCAAGGATCTCATTTAGCACCTTCCAGGATTTCCTTTGATCACCAAGAGCATGATAAAATTTCCCAGTGAAGTAGTTCCGCCTACTTGCTCTCTTTACTTTTGTTAAAATATTGTTATATTTTGTATACATACATTTATTTTGTGTGTTCCGATTTTTTGCATACCGATCATACAATTTATTTTTCTTCTGTATTGACTTTAAAATCCCCTTTGTTATCCAAGGCTTAGGTTGTATACTATTCTGTTTAATATTTTTTTCAGGGATAGTTACGTTGATGGAATTAGTAACTTCAGATATGAACAAATTATATGCATCGTCAGGATCAGTGGTGTTAAACACTGAATCCCAGTTTTTCGTTTGGAGATGTTGCATCAAAGCAGCAAGGGTTTGATTGTTTATGACTTTTACTTTTCTCCTTGTACATGGATATGGTGCACCTTTATTCAGTTTCATATAATAAGTAACAGGATAATGATCTGTGATATCAGAGCATACAACTCCTGCTTTACTTTCAACGTTTTGTATATTTGTTATTATATTGTCTAAAATTGACTTGCTGAGTTCTGTGACTCTAGTATGTTTATTGATTTGGGGAAAAATGATGTGGAAATTATTGTATTTAAAAATTCAGTTCCGTGTTTCCCTTCTTCAGATGTATCAACATTAAAGTCCCCCATTATAATACAGTTTTTGTTCCTTTGGCTGATAGTACTTAGGATATTTTCAAATTGGTCTCTGAACGTGTTATAATTTGAGTCGGGTGGGCGATAGATTACACCAATAATGATACTTTTGGCATTTTTGGGTGTAATTTCTAAGAAAAGTGAATCTGAGAAACCATCATGCAGGTTTAGATATGTGAGTTCATTAACAGAGTATCGGGAGCTTACATAAAAGCACACCCCTCCACCGCTTTTTCCGGTTCTATTTTTGTAAAACATAGTATATCCATCTAAGTTGAAAATGTCTACATATGAGAGTTCATTTAACCAAGTTTCACTACAACCTATTACATCAAATTTGTGACCTATGCTTGCAAGCAGTGAAACGAGGTCATCATGATGTTTTTTAATGCTTCTAATATTAAGATGCATCAATGAGAATGTGAAGTCACTTTTGATATTTAATAGATCTTCTGGTTTGTAATATTCACAATTTTGTACTTCTGTGTATTGGTGCTCTTGCTCGTCACCTTCATTAGTACGATGCATGTCAATCATACCCAAAGTGATCTGAGGTCATGGTGACACCATGTGTGTACAATAGTAATTTTGTTTCCACTGATCTCTGCGAACATATACAACGCACGCACACACACATACATACACACACACACACACACACCCAAGCGCTCACACACACATACACACACACATGCAGGAATAATAATACATAATAACAGTAATAATAATGGAAATGAAGATAAAGTAGCCATAGACTCAATTTAGGTTTGTCAGAAAAAAAATGTCTCTACTTTATTCCCACAGTGATTGAAAGCCCACCCCCGAGTCTCAGATTCATCATGTGCCACCAGCTTAAGCAAACAAATTATATTATTATTGGCACAGAGAATAATAGTCACTCACCGGACACCATTTCCCGAAGAAATAGTAAACATATTATGATCCAATGTTTATGTTCAAAAAAGCTGCAGCCTCATTTGGATCTCTAAATGTCTTTTTGATGCCGTCGGTGGTGAAGGACAGAACCGCAGGGTATGCCATCAGAAAGCGTATGTTTTTCTTAATAAGGTCCGAGCACACCGCATTAAACGCTCTCCTGGCCATCCTGACGCTTGGTGGAACATCTGGCACGATCCTCAGGCTGGATCCATCGTGTTGTATGGCCCCTTGTCGCTTTGCCGCAGTCATGATCACCCTGACATCACGCGAACGCTGGAGTTTGATGACTCCAGCGTTTTTATTCCTTTGGTGTCATAATGTTTTGTGTTAATCCTTTTTCCTTAGATCTGAGACTGGGTTTGAGGATTGTCACTCAGCAAATACACGATTACATGTGTTCTGTTAGAGTAGAACAGGAAAAGGTGAGTATTCAGAAGTAACTGAGCAAAGTTACTCAATGGAGGAATTGTTGGAACCAGTGTTGGAGACTGCCCCCTGCTGGACATAAGGCTGCACTTCAAGCCTCTAAAGGCGTCTAGTAAGAACAGTCATATCTGATATAACTTACAGGTTGATCTGGAGACTGAGGCCAGACTTCCCTCTTCACACAAACCTATTAATGAACAAATGAATGCATTACATGTTATCTTAATAATTATTGGCAGATTGTGACAAATTGAGATTTTAAAAACTCTATTGTCTTAGAATTTTAAACTGCAGCTTTCCCAAAGGAAAAAAAATCATTTTCTTTCTGCATTTTTTATTTCCTCCATATCTTTTCTTTCATTTCTTAATAATAGATGTTCTGTTTATTTCATGCACATTCTTCTTTGATCAATTGCAAATGCAGGATGCGGGCTCACACCTACAGCAGCTGAGAGTCCTGGGTCTGGTCTTGAGAGGAACCCTCTGTAGTGATCTATTCTGAGCTCTGTGCCTTTCTCTGATGGAGTCCTTTGGGTGCCAGAGCCGAGGGTGGGAAGGTAAACTAAGCTGTTTATCCAGAGCTTTGACTGCAGACGCTGCTCCCTGTTCAGCACAACGGTCCAATACAACGACCTCATTTTTCGACCCTTATTTAACCGGAAAGTCCCAGTGAGATTTCAGAGTTCACTCTTGTGCATGTTTTTAGTGGTTGGAGAAAGCAGAGCACTCACAGCAAATCTACGCAGACACACAGAGAACATGCAAACTCCACCACCAGCCCAGAGGTAGAACCAAGGACCTTCTTCCTGAGAATCCATTGGGTCTTCCACCTCTCGAAGAAAGAAGTTTCATAACCTGAATGAACTGGAGTTTGAACCTCGACGTTATAAATGTACAGTTTTATACTTCTACTGAAAACTAAAATTGAAAATAGCTGCAGTAAAAAGTCTTCCAAAAGAAAAAGGCAAAGCACATGGATCCAATTGAAGCCAGTTTATTCTGTCATCAGCGGCATATTGAGTTTTATCACAATAATTCACAAGCAGCCATTCCAAAGCACTGCAGGGCACAGAAACTGCCCTGACGCTGGGACACCTGTGCTATAGTTTCAGTTTTCGACGTCACGCCAATGCTTTACCTCATTTGAACGGCGCTGACAGCTTCCATGCCCCAAAATCTAAATCTCTGGCAAAATTGCAAAGTAAAAACAAAGATCCACGTTACAGCTTATATTTATTTCCGGTAAAGCTAGAACTCAGAGAAAAGAATAAGAATAGGTTTGCTACATCCAAGAGCAGTTAGCAAACATTTTGTACAATAGGACTACGTTTTTTCCCAATTTGGGCTCAGGCGTTGAACGTAATGCGGTGCTATAAAAGAACTGTTCACAAAGGGAATGACAGAAGCTGGGTTTAGCTGCCCTGTTCGAAGGTGACCTAGAGAGCTAGCTCACTGTTAGCATCAGTACTTCCTGTTTTCTGTATTAAAACACCAAATATAATACAATATATCAATCTGTATAAAATGTCTTAGTTGGAGGATAAAGTGGAGACTGCACCGTTGTTTATGAATGCATATTATTACTTTATTATGCTTCAAAGTTAGCATTAGCTTTGAGAGATGACTGGAAGTAAAATTTCCTCAAAACATAATTGTTGTAAAGGATTGAAAACTTCAAACTGTTTGAGTAATTACAACAAGAGCTATATTCATTTAAAATGTTTATTATTAACATTAAAATATGAAAACCTGCACTGTAAATAGTAGTTAGCGGGTAGCCGGTAGCTAGCCTATCTAGCTCCAGGTTTAACTACGTACAATAAGATTTGTTGTCATGCTGTTTAAGGAGAATTCCACATGGATTACATTTAACGACAATATTACAGTCTTCTTAATTGTTTTATACATGTTTTTCATTATTAATCTACATTCCCTCAGGCCCTGGAAAGTGAACCATATTCCTATTTTCAATTCTCCAGGTTTTCTGACTGTATAAAAATTATTTTCTATCCATCCATCCATCCATCTTCTACCCTTTAATCCATTTCTGGGTCAGGGGGGTGGCAGTCAGAGATGCCACCCAAGTCTCATAGCACCAGCCCCTCACTGACCCTCTGCAGGTGGTGAGTCCACAGGAGGACGGCTGCTCTCTGAGTGTGAGCATAGCCTTGATCTTTCAATTATTTTCTATTGATTTCTTAAACAAAATGTTTCCAGCTGCAAAGATTCTCTTGTCAAATAAAACATGTAAGACGTTGAATTTGGCTTCATCTAATTTAATATTCTTTAAATGACAACAGTTGGAAGCTATTTGTGTGAGACGAACAGACAGAACAGATTGAACAACACAAATCCACTTGTGGCGTTCCCCAAGGGTCAATACTGGGGCCCACATTATTCACAATGTACAGATTAAAACGAAGGCCCCGTATCAGCAAAGAATCTGCCTTTGGTTTTCACCTTGTTTAAAACCTTTTTACCACTTTTGCCTTTTGTATTTAGTCATAGTTTTTTGCTGTGAAACCTTAAAATATTTACACATTTTTCGAGCAACTTAGCTCAACACAGGAAGCACCAACAGAAGTAACAGTGAGTAACTCGCCGTTTAAACAGGAAGCTCCACAAATGCCTTCAAACGCCAACAGGCAAAAAAACACTGGTAAATGAAGATATTAACAAACTGTGGAACATGTTTAGACCCTGCATAGTGCACTGTCATTCTATGCTTCAAAACCAAGTTCGAGAATTTCTAAATAAATTATAAGAAAGAAAAAAACAGTCGATAGTTAGACCTAATGAGAACTTCAAACGGTTCAGAAACAGCAACAACTGGAATAGAAAATGTGCATGAATACTTCGCAAACTATGTACAAATCTGGACAGTGATGGTCTAGAATTTAAATATATATAACATTTGACTTTCAGAGTGAATCTTCAAAAGGACCGACTGGACATGTACAGGGCTTTGTGTCTGAAAACTAGTTATTCAGTCATTTTCAATCTCTCTCTGTGTGACGGACACATCAGAACTTTCAAGATACTTTGACCAGTGAAGATGGAATTATTAATATTAATCTTTGTTATAGTAGTTATGGTGTAGTTGGTGTCATAAAAACAACTAAAAGTCAAATTAACAACAGATATTTTCCGATATGTGCTCAGTTTAGTACCAATATATATAAATAATTTGCCTAAAATTGACCGTACTGTAAAATCTACTCTAAAGTTGGTATAAATCGCTGCAAGAAAACATCATGAATTATTAAGAATGCTTACATACATGATATTTCAAAGAAAGTCTGTCTCTAGCATGATGTATTATTTATGTATGTGTTGTTATGCAGTTGGTAGAATGCTAACGCTAATGCTAATGCTAATGCCCCTGTACATGTAGCCAGCCTCTATATCACACAGATGGAAAAGTATTTAGTATCAGATTATTGAACGTTTGAAACATGATGAAGACACTTGAGTGGGTGACAGCAGGGGTGGGGGCAGGAGCAGGGGCGGGGGCAGGGGCAGGTGGGGCTTAAGCAGGGGCGGGGGCAGGAATGGGGGCAGGGGCGGGTGGGGCTTCAGCAGGGGCGGGGGCAAGGGTGGGGGCGGGGGCAAGGGTGGGTGCGGGGGCAAGGGTGGGGGCAGGGGCAAGGGTGGGTGCGGGGGCAAGGGTGGGGGCAGGGGCGGGTGGGGCTTCAGAAAGGGGCAGGGGCGGGAGCTGGGGCGGGGGCAGGTGGGGCTTCAAAAGGGGCGGGGCGGGGGCAGGTGGGGCTTCGGCGGGAGCAGGGGCAGGTGGGCTTCTGGGTAATCTGCTTTATTGTCACACTGGCTCTAACAGGCCCCGGTGGCTGTGCTGGACTGGGCGGCTGTGGGGGGGTTGGAGCTGCTCTGGCCTTTCCCTTTGTGCCTCTGTCCTCCTCGTCTCCTACTGCCTCCTCCAGACTTTGGCTGTGGAACAGATGAAGAAGAGGAAAGTGTGAGAAGGAGACGATCCAGAACAGGAACGACCAGGAGTGCAACGATACGTGTTCATGTGACATCAATCAATCAATCAATCAACGTTTATTTGTAGAGCGCCTTTCCTACACAAGGCAACGCAAAGCGCTTCACATCCCCTATCACATCATGCATAAATCAAACACATTAAGAGCACAAGATATATTAAAAACATTAAAAATAAAATCACAAAAATTAAAAACCTTTAAACATTAAAATCACAGATGGGACTAAAATCATAAATAGTCACAGTGCATTAAAAAGATTAAAGATAAAAACAAAGATGAAAAGATAAAATCATTCAGTTGTATATGCGCAGCTAAACAGAATTGTTTTGAGCCTAGATTTAAAAGATGCCAGAGTAGACGCCTGTCTCACATTCTCAGGAAGACGGTTCCAGACTCTAGCCGCATGAATCTGAAATGCAGTTTGCCCCACATCACAGCGTTCCAACGAGATCATAGTTTCACATCGTGGCTGAGTGCAGAGGACTAAAAATCTCTCCTGGTAACTATGGTAACTGTCAGAATTCTTTCGCCAATTTCTCTAAGTCCTCGGCCAATCAGCATGAAACCAAAGTAAGTCATCTTTATTGATATCGAGCATTTTACCGACCAATGTCACCCAAAAGCTGTCACAAAGTCTCCCATCTTCTTTGTCTGCATCAACTATAGACTAATTACTTTCTCATAAACGTGTCAAGTAACGGTGACAGTATTCATTACATATGCATGATGTTGGCCAGCAGAAAGGACTCACGGAAAAGAAGAATAATATAGAGCTTTCAAATCTATCAAATAATAATCTGGGAAAACATTTAGACTTTTACAACATTTCTTTCCCATTGAGTTGTTTTGGTTCCTGCTCAAAATACTGCAGTACAATTCTACTACATGAAAGCATTTAGCCCCAGGGGATTCCTTATAACTTAAAGCTGGGGTACATAACTTTCAAAAAACAGCTCGGATCAATCACTATTTTTCACGTTTCAGATTTCAGACTGAAAAGCGAAAAAGAGAGGAAAGAAAGGACCACTCTCACTCAGCCAATCAGCTTTGAGCCCAAAGAGAGGCTAACCCTACTTACAAGTACGCAAATAATAAAAAACAAAATATTGGAACAAAAATTGCACACACAAGTAAAGAAACCACGGGCAATGCTATCAAAAAGTACGGGGAGAACATGCAAACGCCACAAAACAACACATGAACCAAAGCCAGACTTGAATGCAGTCTGAAGTCTGTTGTTTTTGGCCCAGTTTTACCCATAAACTGTGGTTGTACCTTGTTCTCTTTGTTCCCCTCTTTAGCCTGAGGGTCCTCGTCGCCCTCCGCCTGTGGGTGCAGCGTGGGCGCAGCGTGGGCGCAGCGTGGGTGCAGCGTGGGCACAGGGGGGAGGGCGCGGTCAAGCAGGGCAAACATTACAGACAGAATATGTGTGATCGTAATGAGAGGGACGTGGGAATGAGGAAGAGCGACCAGAACGGAGCAGAGGATGGAAGACGCATTAGAACACAAAGTTAGCTCCATCTGGAAATGTACGTTATTATTTTAATGAGATTATTTATTCATTTTGACTTGTTATTGTTGCTTAAGAAAAATATCAGCTCAAGACTCTCTATATCAGGGGTCTCCAAACGTTTTCAATCAGAGAGCTACTAAAAGAGGAGGCAGAGAGCTACTCCATTTTACAGTCGTAAAATCTGATGATTACGACAAAACATCAGCATAGAAGGAGCTAAAAACAACCCCGGGTCAGTTTGTGACGCTCAAAAAGTTGATTATGTAAAATATGGAAGTGCTGAGCCTGGACCTGCTGCTGTCACTGCTGCTGTTACTGCTGCTGCTGCTGTTACTGCTGCTGTTACTGCTGCTGTTACTGCTGCTGCTGCTGCTGCTGTCACTGCTGCTGTTACTGCTGCTGTTGCTGCTGCTGTCACTGTTGCTGTTACTGCTGCTGCTGCTGTCACTGCTGCTGTTACTGCTGCTGTCACTGCTGCTGTCCCTGCTGCTGTTACTGCTGCTGTCACTGCTGCTGTTACTGCTGCTGTCACTGCTGCTGTCACTGCTGCTGTTACTGCTGCTGTCACTGCTGCTGTCACTGCTGCTGTCACTGCTGCTGTTACTGCTGCTGTTACTGCTGCTGTCACTGCTGCTGTCCCTGCTGCTGTCACTGCTGCTGCTGTTACTGCTGCTGTCACTGCTGCTGTTACTGCTGCTGTCACTGCTGCTGTTACTGCTGCTGTCACTGCTGCTGTCCCTGCTGCTGTTACTGCTGCTGTTACTGCTGCTGTCACTGCTGCTGTCACTGCTGCTGTTACTGCTGCTGTCACTGCTGCTGCTGTCACTGCTGCTGTCACTGCTGCTGTCACTGCTGCGGTTACTGCTGCTGTCACTGCTGCTGTCACTGCTGCTGTTACTGCTGCTGTTACTGCTGCTGTCACTGCTGCTGTTACTGCTGCTGCTGTTACTGCTGCTGTTACTGCTGCTGTTACTGCTGCTGTCACTGCTGCTGTTACTGCTGCTGTCACTGCTGCTGTCACTGCTGCTGTTACTGCTGCTGTCACTGCTGCTGTCCCTGCTGCTGTCACTGCTGCTGCTGTCACTGCTGCTGTCACTGCTGCTGTCACTGCTGCTGTCACTGCTGCTGTCACTGCTGCTGTCACTGCTGCTGTCACTGCTGCTGTTACTGCTGCTGTTACTGCTGCTGCCACTGCTGCTGTTACTGCTGCTGTTACTGCTGCTGTCACTGCTGCTGTTACTGCTGCTGTTACTGCTGCTGTCACTGCTGCTGTCCCTGCTGCTGTCACTGCTGCTGCTGTCACTGCTGCTGTCACTGCTGCTGTCACTGCTGCTGTCACTGCTGCTGTTACTGCTGCTGTCACTGCTGCTGTCACTGCTGCTGTCACTGCTGCTGTTACTGCTGCTGTTACTGCTGCTGTCACTGCTGCTGTTACTGCTGCTGTTACTGCTGCTGTTACTGCTGCTGTCACTGCTGCTGTTACTGCTGCTGTTACTGCTGTTGTCACTGCTGCTGTTACTGCTGCTGTTACTGCTGCTGCTGCTGTTACTGCTGCTGTCACTGCTGCTGTCACTGCTGCTGTTACTGCTGCTGTTACTGCTGCTGTCACTGCTGCTGTTACTGCTGCTGTTACTGCTGCTGTCACTGCTGCTGTTACTGCTGCTGTCACTGCTGCTGTTACTGCTGCTGCTGCTGCTGTTACTGCTGCTGTCACTGCTGCTGTCACTGCTGCTGTTACTGCTGCTGCTGCTGCTGCTGTTACTGCTGCTGTCACTGCTGCTGTCACTGCTGCTGTTACTGCTCCTGTTACTGCTGCTGTCACTGCTGCTGTTACTGCTGCTGTTACTGCTGCTGTCACTGCTGCTGTCACTGCTGCTGTTACTGCTGCTGCTGCTGCTGCTGTCACTGCTGCTGTCACTGCTGCTGTCACTGCTGCTGTTACTGCTCCTGTTACTGCTGCTGTCACTGCTGCTGTTACTGCTCCTGTTACTGCTGCTGTTACTGCTGCTGTCACTGCTGCTGTTACTGCTGCTGTCACTGCTGCTGTCACTGCTGCTGCTGTTACTGCTGCTGTCACTGCTGCTGTCACTGCTGCTGTCACTGCTGCTGTTACTGCTGCTGTCACTGCTGCTGTTACTGCTGCTGTCACTGGTGCTGCTGCTGCTGCTGTTACTGCTGCTGTCACTGCTGCTGTCACTGCTGCTGTTACTGCTGCTGTTACTGCTGCTGTTACTGCTGCTGTCACTGCTGCTGTCACTGCTGCTGTCCCTGCTGCTGTCCCTGCTGCTGCTGTTACTGCTGCTGTCACTGCTGCTGTTACTGCTGCTGTCACTGCTGCTGTCACTGCTGCTGTCCCTGCTGCTGTCACTGCTGCTGCTGTTACTGCTGCTGTTACTGCTGCTGTCACTGCTGCTGTCACTGCTGCTGTTACTGCTGCTGTCACTGCTGCTGTCACTGCTGCTGTCACTGCTGCTGTTACTGCTGCTGCTGCTGTCACTGCTGCTGTCACTGCTGCTGCTGCTGCTGCTGTTACTGCTGCTGTCACTGCTGCTGTCACTGCTGCTGTTACTGCTGCTGCTGCTGTCACTGCTGCTGTTACTGCTGCTGTCACTGCTGCCGTCACTGCTGCTGTTACTGCTGCTGTTACTGCTGCTGCTGCTGTCACTGCTGCTGTCGCTGCTGCTGCTGCTGCTGTTACTGCTGCTGTCACTGCTGCTGTTACTGCTGCTGTCACTGCTGCTGTTACTGCTGCTGTTACTGCTGCTGTTACTGCTGCTGTCACTGCTGCTGTTACTGCTGCTGTTACTGCTGCTGTCACTGCTGCTGTTACTGCTGTTACTGCTGCTGCTGCTGTTACTGCTGCTGTCACTGCTGCTGTCACTGCTGCTGTTACTGCTGCTGTTACTGCTCTGCTGTCACTGCTGCTGTTACTGCTGCTGTTACTGCTGCTGTCACTGCTGCTGTTACTGCTGCTGTCACTGCTGCTGTTACTGCTGCTGCTGCTGTCACTGCTGCTGTTACTGCTGCTGCTGCTGCTGCTGTTACTGCTGCTGTTACTGCTGCTGTCACTGCTGCTGTTACTGCTGCTGCTGCTGTTACTGCTGCTGTCACTGCTGCTGTCACTGCTCCTGTTACTGCTGCTGCTGCTGTCACTGCTGCTGTCACTGCTGCTGTCACTGCTGCTGTCACTGCTGCTGTTACTGCTCCTGTTACTGCTGCTGTCACTGCTGCTGTCACTGCTGCTGCTGCTGTCACTGCTGCTGTCACTGCTGCTGTCACTGCTGCTGTCACTGCTGCTGTTACTGCTGCTGTCACTGCTGCTGTTACTGCTGCTGTCACTGCTGCTGCTGCTGCTGCTGTTACTGCTGCTGTCACTGCTGCTGTCACTGCTGCTGTCACTGCTGCTGTTACTGCTGCTGTTACTGCTGCTGTCACTGCTGCTGTCACTGCTGCTGTCCCTGCTGCTGTCACTGCTGCTGCTGTTACTGCTGCTGTCACTGCTGCTGTTACTGCTGCTGTCACTGCTGCTGTTACTGCTGCTGTTACTGCTGCTGTCACTGCTGCTGTCCCTGCTGCTGTCACTGCTGCTGCTGTTACTGCTGCTGTTACTGCTGCTGTCACTGCTGCTGTCACTGCTGCTGTTACCGCTGCTGTCACTGCTGCTGTCACTGCTGCTGTCACTGCTGCTGCTGTTACTGCTGCTGCTGCTGTCACTGCTGCTGTCACTGCTGCTGCTGTTACTGCTGCTGTCACTGCTGCTGTCACTGATGCTGTTACTGCTGCTGCTGCTGTCACTGCTGCTGTTACTGCTGCTGTCACTGCTGCCGTCACTGCTGCTGTTACTGCTGCTGTTGCTGTCACTGCTGCTGTCGCTGCTGCTGCTGTTACTGCTGCTGTCACTGCTGCTGTCACTGCTGCTGTCACTGCTGCTGTTACTGCTGCTGCTGCTGTCACTGCTGCTGTTACTGCTGCTGTCACTGCTGCTGTTACTGCTGCTGCTGTCACTGCTGCTGTCACTGCTGCTGTTACTGCTGCTGTCACTGCTGCTGTCACTGCTGCTGTCACTGCTGCTGCTGCTGCTGTCACTGCTGCTGTTACTGCTGCTGTCACTGCTGCTGTCACTGCTGCTGCTGTCACTGCTGCTGTCACTGCTGCTGTTACTGCTGCTGCTGTCACTGCTGCTGTCACTGCTGCTGCTGCTGCTGTCACTGCTGCTGTTACTGCTGCTGTCACTGCTGCTGTTACTGCTGCTGCTGTCACTGCTGCTGTCACTGCTGCTGTCACTGCTGCTGTCACTGCTGCTGCTGCTGCTGTCACTGCTGCTGTTACTGCTGCTGTCACTGCTGCTGTCACTGCTGCTGCTGTCACTGCTGCTGTTACTGCTGCTGTCACTGCTGCTGTTACTGCTGCTGCTGTCACTGCTGCTGTCACTGCTGCTGCTGCTGCTGTCACTGCTGCTGTTACTGCTGCTGTCACTGCTGCTGCTGCTGCTGTCACTGCTGCTGTTACTGCTGCTGCTGCTGCTGTCACTGCTGCTGTTACTGCTGCTGTCACTGCTGCTGCTGCTGCTGTCACTGCTGCTGTTACTGCTGCTGCTGCTGTCACTGCTGCTGTCACTGCTGCTGTCACTGCTGCTGTCACTGCTGCTGTTACTGCTGCTGTCACTGCTGCTGTTACTGCTGCTGTAAATACACTTTAGTCAGCAGTATGAGGCAGTAAACTCAGCAGTGTTTCTCTGTGAGCCAAGTGCAAGCTCCAGAGTTGTATGATTGTATCATCTATGATCTTAAACAACACAGTAGATCCTGTTTGATGTGTGCATAACCAGAGCTTCTGATTCCTCCCTTTATTCTGCGGTAATGTGCAACTAAGACACTGTTGTTTCCACCGAGGGTCCTTGGATCTAACAGTTTACTGGTCTTGGTTGATGGTTTACTTTGGAATGTGCTGGAAACTGTTATTTTCCTGATTTTTTTCTACCTGAGATTTTTACACTGGTCCAGACCAGAACAGAGAGGATTCATGGTTTTACACTGGTCCAGACCAGAGCAGAGAGGATTCATGGTTTTACACTGGTCCAGACCAGAGCAGAGAGGATTCATGGTTTTACACTGGTCCAGACCAGAGCAGAGAGGATTCATGGTTTTACACGGTCCAGACCAGAGCAGAGAGGATTCATGGTTTTACACTGGTCCAGACCAGAGCAGAGAGGATTCATGGTTTTACACTGGTCCAGACCAGAGCAGAGAGGATTCATGGTTTTACACTGGTCCAGACCAGAGCAGAGAGGATTCATGGTTTTACACTGGTCCAGACCAGAGCAGAGAGGATTCATGGTTTTACACTGGTCCAGACCAGAGCAGAGAGGATTCATGGTTTTACACTGGTCCAGACCAGAGCAGAGAGAGGATTCATGGTTTTACACTGGTCCAGACCAGAGCAGAGAGGATTCATGGTTTTACACTGGTCCAGACCAGAGCAGAGAGGATTCATGGTTTTACACTGGTCCAGACCAGAGCAGAGAGGATTCATGGTTTTACACTGGTCCAGACCAGAGCAGAGAGGATTCATGGTTTTACACTGGTCCAGACCAGAGCAGAGAGGATTCATGGTTTTACACTGGTCCAGACCAGAGCAGAGAGGATTCATGGTTTTACACTGGTCCAGACCAGAGCAGAGAGGATTCATGGTTTTACACTGGTCCAGACCAGAGCAGAGAGGATTCATGGTTTTACACTGGTCCAGACCAGAGCAGAGAGGATTCATGGTTTTACACTGGTCCAGACCAGAGCAGAGAGGATTCATGGTTTTACACTGGTCCAGACCAGAGCAGAGAGGATTCATGGTTTTACACTGGTCCAGACCAGAGCAGAGAGGATTCATGGTTTTACACTGGTCCAGACCAGAGCAGAGAGGATTCATGGTTTTACACTGGTCCAGACCAGAGCAGAGAGGATTCATGGTTTTACACTGGTCCAGACCAGAGCAGAGAAAATGGTCCAAACCAAGCCCCACCTCTGCTGCTGGGACCTGAGACTGTTGTTATTAATACTATTGTTAGCTCTTTTAAGACTGATTTATTTATTTGTTTGTTTGTGTGGATGTGTTTCTGCTGCAATTCTCCAACAAGGATCAGTAAAGTATCTATCTATAAAGTCAGTAATGAATAATAGGTATGGCTTCCTCACCGGTGGTATTGTGCTGGGGCCCGGGACCTGTGCTATCGTGGGCTCCTCGGCGGCCCCTGTGCCCTGGGACTCTTCTTTCCGTATATGGCCCTTCTTTGTCGACTGCATTTTGATTTGAGGAGGTTTGGAATTCGACGGCAAGTTGTTGGTGGACTGCAAGAGCTGAGAGAGACACAACAGAGTCAGAACGAATCCAACCACAACTGTCTTCAATGGATCAGAGTTTCTTTAATCTGTTGTACGCTTGTGAGAAAAGAGCCCTGGGAGTCACTATTTGACACTTTGGGCTGAGTGAGGGTGGTCCTCTCTTTTTCACTTTTCTGTCTGAAAGAGTTGATCTAAAAATGTACAATACATCAGGTACAAGTGGTAAAAGTTACAGACTCCAACTGACAGAGCAACACATTTAGAAAGTAGTGTGTGTGTGTGTGTGTGTGTGTGTGTGTGTGTGTGTGTGTGTGTGTGTGTGTGTGTGTGTGTGTGTACCTTGGTGATGGTGCCCACTGCCTTGGTGCGGCCCTCTCTGAACACCAGCCTCTGCTCACAGTGCAGGTGTGTGTGTGTGTGTGTGTGTGTGTCTCTGGGTGTGTGTGTGTACCTTGGTGATGGTGCCCACTGCCTTGGTGCGGCCCTCTCTGAACACCAGCCTCTGCTCACAGTGCAGGTGTGTGTGTGTGTCTCTGGGTGTGTGTGTGTACCTTGGTGATGGTGCCCACTGCCTTGGTGCGGCCCTCTCTGAACACCAGCCTCTGCTCACAGTGCAGGTGTGTGTGTGTGTCTCTGGGTGTGTGTGTGTACCTTGGTGATGGTGCCCACTGCCTTGGTGCGGCCCTCTCTGAACACCAGCCTCTGCTCACAGTGCAGGTGTGTGTGTGTGTCTCTGGGTGTGTGTGTGTACCTTGGTGATGGTGCCCACTGCCTTGGTGCGGCCCTCTCTGAACACCAGCCTCTGCTCACAGTGCAGGTGTGTGTGTGTGTGTGTGTGTGTGTGTCTCTGGGTGTGTGTGTGTACCTTGGTGATGGTGCCCACTGCCTTGGTGCGGCCCTCTCTGAACACCAGCCTCTGCTCACAGTGCAGGTGTGTGTGTGTGTCTCTGGGTGTGTGTGTGTACCTTGGTGATGGTGCCCACTGCCTTGGTGCGGCCCTCTCTGAACACCAGCCTCTGCTCACAGTGCAGGTGTGTGTGTGTGTCTCTGGGTGTGTGTGTGTACCTTGGTGATGGTGCCCACTGCCTTGGTGCGGCCCTCTCTGAACACCAGCCTCTGCTCACAGTGCAGGTGTGTGTGTGTGTCTCTGGGTGTGTGTGTGTACCTTGGTGATGGTGCCCACTGCCTTGGTGCGGCCCTCTCTGAACACCAGCCTCTGCTCACAGTGCAGATACTCTGGAGTCTTGATGAAGCGGAAGTGGACTGTGGCCTTGTCCCCGGTCCTCAGACAGTCTCTGCTCATGGACAGGATGGTGGCCGTCTGCCGGATGCTCCCACAATGCACTGCAAACAACCACACTCTCCTCATCTCAACATCCCACACGTTTGGAACAGATGATGGCTGTGTGTGTTTGATGAGCTCAATGAAGTAAAGAAGGGCAGCGACAAATATTGAAAGGTTGTAAAATATTGTAGAATTTATGGTAATTAAAAGGAAACAATGGGAATAAACTGAATTTGCCTTGGTTCTTCAGAGGGAACTTGAATATAGGTGAGGAACTATATTTCCTTTTGAGCCCAAAGCTCCAAACTATTGGAGGCACATTTGAGGCTGTGGACTGAGCAAAGTTTTAATGGTGTTATGGGAAAATATATTGATTCAACGGTTAAATTGTAAATATCACATTATACACCTGGTAGTTAGCAAGCTTGTAAATTAGCTAGCATAATCTAATTTACCACAAGGGGCAGGGTTAGTTTTTCCTGTTTTTGTTCTTCCTCGAAACAAGTGATTGTGATTCCTCAGATTAACTTCTATGGAATTTTTCTGGAAACTTTCTGGACACTTTCCGCCTTTGCAACTGGATATGAGCCGTAAGGACTGATCAATCAGACTGCTGCTCTTCTGATCGACTTCTTCCACATTCTGCAGATACTAAGGAGCCGGAGACCCACCCATGGCCTGGTAGCGTGGGGAGATGGTGGTGGGGTGGTGCAGCACCAGGATCTCTGCCTCGAACTCCCACGTGGCCTGAGGGTTGAGCTTTGGAGACACCATCACCATTCCCTTCCGGATCGACGAGCGCTTGATCTGACAAACACAACAGGCCACATTAGGACTGTGCTGTGCTGCTTTCTTAGTCCATTCATACAACATTTGTTCCATTAATTATTATACTTCAATGAAAAGGCTTTCAAGGTGAAAACTGCATAAATACTGATGATAATGAAATAACTAATTCTCAACTCACTGCTTTAATCAATCAAGAAGTGACGAAACAGTCAACAATTACTCAAAACTGGCTGAATGTCTTTTCATTTGAGCACATTTTGACTGATTTAAAACAGGATTTTCCGAAAGGACAAAGCAAAATGATCTTGTTTTAAAAATATACAAAGAATGTCTCTCTTGGTATGAGGAAATAAATTGATTAGTTTTTGAAATGAGACTAAATGCCTTTGTCCCATCGGCAAATCATCAGAATGTGCACAAATTAAGATAAAAAAACACTTGATTTAAGCATTTATTACCTCATACTTGATCAGTTTTGTGAGGACTATTGTAAAGTATGAATAACTTGCTTGAATGCTTCTCATATGTATAAGCTGATTGGACAAGCTAACTCGTGCATGTAAAAGTAACTGAGAGAAGTGTGTTCACCTTTTTGAGCGCAAAGGAAGCGGTCTGTCCCCCGCGCACCTCCTTGACGGGCATCCTCTTCCTGTGGATGGATTTGACGGCGATGGGGAGGAAGCTGCCCAAAGGATCCGGGCCCAGGAGCATGGTGTCGTTCAGACGTATCAATCCACGTAAAGTAGTTCCAGACACCACCGTGCCCACGCCCTGGAAACACAGCCATGGGGTGAGTTCAGAGCCATACTGTGCACGCCACACCGGGAGAGGCTGCACTGGGACGTCGCCCTTTAGCGGGGGCCGGACCCACTTTTAAAGATAAACTTTACTGATGTCATGATGGAGATATCTACATGTCACATTTGACACGGATAGAATCACTCAGGGTGTGCAAAAAAGTTAAGATAGAGGTGTTGTTACTGCTATTTCATGTACAATTAAAGCTAAAAAATAACTATAGCAGTGTGAGTTTACAGTTTAATGTCTTATAAATCATTTATTTGCCATATGCAGTAAAACCACATTGGAAAAGCTGCGCAAGACTCCCCCAGTGCCATGTTTCCAGCCACATTATACATGATTAATTTAACAAACATGAAGATATTGACTGTTGTCTTTACACTTGTGGACATGTTTAGAGCAGATTATCACTAACAACATAATGACTCATTATTTAACAATATCAGTAACAACCTAATTATGGGCAAAAACAAGGCGTCATATTTCCTCTTTACTTCTAACTTCTGCACATGTTGATAATTGAGATTACAGAAACTTCATGGGCAGCTTTAATTATATATAATTAAATATAATTAGGGGCAACAGTAGCTACCCACGTCCTCTGCTCCCACTGATGTCTGCTGCTGTTGTGTCCCTGGGCAAGACACTTAACCACACACTGCCTCTCTGTAAGTGCAAGGCCATCTCGTCAATGACGGAGAAGCCATCTTCCTGTGGACCCCCCACCTGCAGAGGATCAGAGGGACTGGTGCTGTGAGACTTGGGCAGCAGCTCTGATTGCCACCTCCCATTATACATAAATATAATCCCTGTTGTGTTGTTTATGAGTTTTGTTAAATGTGCTCCAGACGTTTAAGTCGCATTATTCAAAATGTTCACACCAAGATCATTTGCTTCAGATTCTAGCTGTGTCGCTACGATCTGGAGCTTCATGTTGCAGGGCACTGTCCTTTCAGATAATAAAGACTGAACTAAACATCAGTAAAAGGCCTGAAGCTAAACATGGGGCGACCCTTTAGACGTGTACTGGGCTTTGTATTAACCATAAGTGTGTTGTATTCATGGCACACACCGGCACTGAGTATGTGTCGTCGATCTGGAACTCGGCCGGTTGGTCGTCTCGGTACGACGTTCTGGACGACAGCAGGTTCAGAAACATCTTGAGCAGGTCCATGTTCTCACCGCTCACATTGGAGATCTGGAAGATGGGACACATCCTGCAGAGACCACGGAGCAGCTTAGTCCAACACCAAAGAAACAACACACTGAGACTGATTTCATCTTCATCTCCAGCTTCATTTCAGTCTAATCATTTACATCAAAGTGTTCGAGCCTTCCCACCTCTACACCTTCTCCACCGACTCCCACTGATGACTGCTGTCGTTGTGTCCTTGGGCAAGACACTTAACCCCACTTTGCCCAAAGCCCCCACTGAAAGATCAAGGCTATGCTCACACTCAGAGAGCAGCCGTCCTCCTGTGGACTCACCACCTGCAGAGGGTCAGTGAGGGGCTGGTGCTATGAGACTTGGGTGGCATCTCTGATTGCCACCCCCCTGACCCAGTAATGGATTAAAGGGTAGAAAATGGATGGAAATGGATGGATGTTCGAGCCTTTCACAGTGAAACTGATTCCATCTGTAACAAGTTTGAATAATTGCAACTAATCCATTATTGTTCTCACCTCCGACAAAGGCCAAAGTCTATCACTGAAACATGTGGTAATTAATAGCGGTGGGGAAAAATCCATTCTAATTCAAATGGAAATGGCTTCATCACACCCGGTTCTACACAACACACTTCTTTAAAAGATGAATTATGTCTGGTCCTGTAAGGAGGTCATGGGTCCTGAATGTTTAAGTTTAAAGCCTAGTGTATACTTGTGCGGCGCGGCTTACGTTAGCGGTTGAGGTGGACCTACGCAAGCACATTTGTGTTTATTTTCCTTGCGGGGTTTTGAGCAGAATGTTGTAATCCCACAACCAACCACATGATGGCGATCTCACAGGAGTTGCTTGAGAAACCAAAGCGGTCTCATTTACGCTGCTTCTTTCTCCTCTTCAGAACAAAAACATGAACAAACCGAGCTGTTTGAGATCATTACATGTGTTTCTACTGTAGGTTCATGTGACAGTTCTATGGACTTATTATTTCTGAACTCATTTAACTGTGATGCTGTGAATAAAGACACAGTTCTGTTGGAAACATAGTTATTAGGGATGTAAATAACTATGAATTTTCATGACCGACCACCGAGCCTCATTAACCGGTTGAAACCGGTTAACCGCGTAGTTAAAAATATTCCACGTTCTTTGAAATAACAGCCATTTCGAGCCGCGTACTTTTCATAAGTGCAGCTCTGCGTTCTACTGGATCAGAGCGGAGACAGCGGCGCCAAAACCCGCAACAACTTTGGTACCTTTGCGCACAGAGAACTTCTTTTTTAATCTTTCCATACTTCTGTGCTGCTGGTTAACAGTTTTTAGCAGCAAACAACGGCTCGTTCACATGGTCAGAGCAGCGAGTGACGAGCCGCGTCTCGCAGATCTCCGCTAAAGTTTAAATAAAGTGATGTGTGTGGAGCTGATGCCAAGGACCAGCAGCACAAACATGTTCCCATGTGATTTGACTGGAGCCGTGTATTTGGATACTTTGGGCTGCGTGACACAGAGGAGCGCGACAGACCGGTATGTGTGTGTGTATATGTATGTATGTGTGTGTGTATATGTATGTATGTGTGTGTAAATGTAAGCTCCAATGTAGTTCTAACCCGCGCTAGTGTGCAACTTTGGCGGACAGAGGGGAAAGATGATGCGTGTGGATGTTACGTATCAATGGAGGGGGGAAAGTGTGTGTGTGTGTGTGTGTACTGTGCACACGGCGTGAGAGTCGGCCCGGAGTTTACTGATATAGTGGCGCACACAGCTAGAGACAGACCCGCTCGCCACACCGTGCAAATAGGGCTTAAAATAACGTTATTAAGAGACCTCCTCCTCCCCCTTTTCTTTTTTTTTAACCGACAGCTTTGATCGGTTAACGCTGTGACGGTCAACCACCGGTTAAATGGTCACCGATTTACATCCCTAATAGTTATTATTAAATTATATTCAGCACAAACAGCAAAACAATAAGTGGTAAATATCTGAGGCAAACATGAACAATTTATAAGTAAGGAGGAATGGAACAGACGCAATAAGCTACGATTCAATCCAATCCAATCCAATCCACTTTATTTATATAGCACATTTCATAAACACGCAGTTTCCAAAGTGCTGCACAACATGCAAAATTGCAACAAATAAATAAATACACACATTTATATAAGAAAATACATAAATAAATAAAATAAAATAAAAACACAGAGGACCACACGACTCACGCGGTGTTAAAAGCCAGAGAATAAAAGTGGGTCTTAAGACGTGACTTAAAACATTCCAACGAGGGAGCTGTTTTGACGTGGGGGGGCAGGGCGTTCCAGAGCTTTGGTCCAGCCACAGAGAAGGCCCTGTCCCCCCGGGTTTTAAGTCTCGTCTTAGGCACCACGAGCTGGAGCTGGCTCTCGGACCTCAGTGCGCGGGGCGGGTGGTAAATCTGGATGAGGTCCGAGATGTAAGGAGGGGCCAGTCCATTCAGAGCTTTAAAAACAAACAATAAAATCTTAAAATCAATTCTAACTTTCAGATTCAAACAAGACAGGAACAGTTTATAAGTTATATATAACTTATATCGAACATATATATAAGTTAGATAGTCCACAGTCTCCTGTAGATCAGGCTCTGAGCCCAAACTACTTTTCCTTCGGTTCCTTGGAAGCACAAAGCTCTCTGCTCCATAGTGCCTCCTCCATGTCCCTGCTGCAGCCGCTCCGTGCTTCCTTCCAATACACACACACGGACCAATCACAGCAGAGCTTCCTTGTGGCGACCCTTACGTAGTTAGAACATTTTGATGCTGCGCGGCAGGCGACGTAAGGGCCTTGCGGTGACCAACGCGTTGCGCAAGTGACGTCACGTCACCTCCGTGCGGCACGAGTATAAACTAGGCTTTAGAGTTTGCACCTCAGTTAATGTGCAGACCATAATCAATAATAAAAACAACATAAACCACAATAAATCACTCAATCTAATTGCAATATTTTCTGTATTAGGTTTATTTCCTGTTTTGTCTTCTTTCTCTGTGTCTCATTAGTCTCATGTGTCTCATTAGTCTCGTGTGTCTCATTAGTCTCGTGTGTCTCATTAGTCTCGTGTGTCTCATTAGTCTCATGTGTCTCATTAGTCTCGTGTGTCTCAATAGTCTGTCTCTCATTAGTCTCATGTGTCTCATTAGTCTTGTGTGTCTCATTAGTCTCGTGTGTCTCATTAGTCTCATGTCTCTCATTAGTCTCATGTCTCTCATTAGTCTCATGTCTCTCATTAGTCTCATGTCTCTCATTAGTCTCATGTGTCTCATTAGTCTCATGTGTCTCATTAGTCTCATGTCTCTCATTAGTCTCATGTCTCTCATTAGTCTCATGTCTCTCATTAGTCTCATGTGTCTCATTAGTCTCATAGTCTCATGTCTCTCATTAGTCTCGTGTGTCTCATTAGTCTTGTGTGTCTCATTAGTCTCATGTCTCTCATTAGTCTCATGTGTCTCATTAGTCTCATGTGTCTCATTAGTCTCATGTCTCTCATTAGTCTCATGTCTCTCATTAGTCTCATAGTCTCATTAGTCTCATAGTCTCATGTCTCTCATTAGTCTCATGTGTCTCATTAGTCTTGTGTGTCTCATTAGTCTCATGTCTCTCATTAGTCTCATGTCTCTCATTAGTCTCATAGTCTCATTAGTCTCATAGTCTCATGTCTCTCATTAGTCTCATGTGTCTCATTAGTCTTGTGTGTCTCATTAGTCTCATGTCTCTCATTAGTCTCATGTGTCTCATTAGTCTCATAGTCTCATGTCTCTCATTAGTCTCATGTGTCTCATTAGTCTTGTGTGTCTCATTAGTCTTGTGTGTCTCATTAGTCTCATGTGTCTCATTAGTCTCATGTGTCTCATTAGTCTCATGTCTCTCATTAGTCTCATGTCTCTCATTAGTCTCATGTCTCTCATTAGTCTCATGTGTCTCATTAGTCTCATTAGTCTCATGTCTCTCATTAGTCTCATGTCTCTCATTAGTCTCATTAGTCTCATTAGTCTCATGTGTCTCATTAGTCTCATGTGTCTCATTAGTCTCATGTCTCTCATTAGTCTCATGTCTCTCATTAGTCTCATGTCTCTCATTAGTCTCATGTCTCTCATTAGTCTCATGTCTCTCATTAGTCTCATGTGTCTCATTAGTCTCATGTGTCTCATTAGTCTCATGTCTCTCATTAGTCTCATGTGTCTCATTAGTCTCATGTGTCTCATTAGTCTCATATCTCTCATTAGTCTCATGTCTCTCATTAGTCTCATGTCTCTCATTAGTCTCATGTGTCTCATTAGTCTCGTGTGTCTCATTAGTCTGTCTCTCATTAGTCTCATGTGTCTCATGTCTCTCATTAGTCTCATGTCTCTCATTAGTCTCATGTGTCTCATTAGTCTCATTAGTCTCATGTCTCTCATTAGTCTCATGTGTCTCATTAAGGGCTCGACACACGGGAGGCGACAAATGAGAGCGATCAGCGAAACTCAACGCTGTCGCTCAGATAACATGACAGACGGGGCGCGATGCGGCTTGACGACAGCGTCGAAAAGTTGAGCCGATTTCAACTTTCTGGGATCGCGTCGCTGACCTGCGCGTGCACGATACATGCACGAGCGGGAGGATTTCACACGCACGTTTTTCGCCCGTCGCTGAGCAGGAGGCTCGCTAGCGATTGACGCTATGTCGCGCACGTCCCATTGAAATGAATGGAGGCGATGCGATGTCGCCTCCCGTGTGTCTAGCCCATAAGTCTTCAAAAAGCTTTTGAAGCGCTTCAACTGACGCCGGGATAGTTTTGTCATTTTGGTGCTTGAGGCTTTTGACGCGAGTGACGCGCCTGACGCCGGTGGGAGGAGCTTCTCTGTTGTCTGTAGTCAGGACAGCGGTGGATTTTTCAATGAGCAGCGAGCATTTATTTGTTATATAAAGCAAAATAACGTTGTAGGGCTTCAACAAAACATGTTCTGGGTTCACCACAGACTGAGGCTGCAGTGTTTGCAGAGTTCCGTCATTTACTCCAGGAGCTGCGTACGGAGGAGTCTCGCTTTCAGCGGTACTTCCGCATGTCACTCGCCCAGTCTGAGTTCTCAAACCCCGGAGCTCGCCTCTCTCCGGCTCTCCCCGGCTCTCGCCTCTCCCTGCCTCTCCCCGGCTCTCGCCTCTCCCTGCCTCTCCCTCGCCTCTCTCCGGCTCTCGCTCGCCTCCCCCTGCCTCTCCCTGCCTCTCCCCGGCTCTCGCTCGCCTCTCCCTGCCTCTCCCTCGCCTCTCCCCGGCTCTCACTCGCCTCTCCCTGCCTCTCCCTGCCTCTCCCTCGCCTCTCCCCGGCTCTCCCCGGCTCTCGCTCGCCTCTCCCTGCCTCTCCCTCGCCTCTCCCCGCCTCTCCCCGGCTCTCGCTCGCCTCTCCCCGGCTCTCGCTCGCCTCTTCCTGCCTCTCCCCGGCTCTCGCCCGCCCGGAGCTGCCTTGCTCTGAGCCAGACTCATCGTCAGCCTGTTCTTATATTAAATAAACTACGTTTACTACACAGCATGTGTACAATGATTTTTGTTACTCAGAACGTTACTACTCATACAAATAATATTACTAATAACAATAATGACAATAAAACAACAGCAGCAGATACATGACTTCTCTCCATGACAGAGACAGGCCCTCTGCTGCTCCTCGTCTCCTGATTGGTTGAAGCCCGCGTCAAAGCTTCAAAAGCTCAGCTTTGCTCAGCTTCGGCGTCAAAGAGATTGTTTTGATACGCGAGCTTTTGACGCCGGGGCCGGGGCTCTCGGCTTCACCTGACGCGCTTCACCATTCACTTTCAATGCAAACCTGACGCTTTTGACGCCAGAGTTAAGTCTGGTGTGAACGCCCCTTAAGATTTTCATATAAAGTCATCATTAAAGGGCCCTAATCTGTCAAAAGGCATTAATAAAACATGGTCTTTTCTTTAACTGACAACTGTTGTTCAGAGATATTTGAACTAATGTTTTATTTTTCCAGCCTCTAAATCTTGTTTTTGTTTTCATTTCGATGTCCCGCCCTCCACCGTTTCACCAATCAGAAAGTCTGTGATCCGGGCGCCAGAACTCACCGCGTGGAGCTAATCTCACTTGTAAAGAAAGATAAGAATCGCAGTCATATTGAAATGTGGCCCATATATCACACTATTGAATCGTCAGTTGTTGTTTGTTAGCATCTTTAGCTAACGATCGTCTATCTTCAAATATAAATAACATATATCCATATTACGTAATAGCTTCCTGAATGATTTGTGTTTGCGGCTCTATCGATGGTCATGTCCTTGGAATAGAAGGTGAAGCTGACTCTACCTCTCTGAGCTGAAATTGGAGGCGGTCACGATGACGTCGTCGGTGTTTTGGACGAGCACGGGGATCTTCCTGCAGCCGGGCGACTTCAGTAGCCTCTGGAGCAGCTTCAGTGTCTCTGTGGGAAACACACACAGACATGAGTGGGAATAGTTTGCAGACAGCAGAAAGAGCAGGACTTCTCGTACCTTGCAGGATATTGGAGGGGCACATGTCGATCTTGGTCACCACCACAAACACGGGAACGTTCAGAGCCAGAGCGAGGCCCAGGTGCTCTTTGGTCATGCCCACGATGCCGGCGTTGCTGCCCACCTGCCCAGACACACAGAGCTTTAGACCAATGCTTCTCTACAGGAACAGTGTCAGGATCCATCATCAACACATAACATCACACTGCCACCCACACCAAGAACTGGGTTTAGTTCATAAATAATGTCAAATACTGTATATTCTCACAAATTCTCCAATTACTTATAAATCTGAACCTTTAAAAGACACATATGCAGCTTGTAACACCTTGAAACCCAGACCTGGAGTTATTTTAAGCTCCATCCACGCTAGCTTGGTTTGACCATACCAGTGTAGTCATGTAATTTCGTACTTATGGAAATGATAATTGACCGGAGGCCCATGTAAGGCCCTTGTGTATAAATGCTCCTGTACTCGTATGACATCACTATGACATCACTGTGACATCACTGTGACAACAAGCTCACAGCTGTTTTCTGATACATTTGTTTTGGAATTTTCTCAGGTGAAATAAAATTCTTTACAATCACATGGCTGTGGTTGCACACGCAAAATCCTTTCCCTAGATATTGCGTGTGCCCCCGGGGGGTGTAGGGCGCGCTACAATGAAAGACAACAACATGAAAGACTCGGGCGCACGTCTGTGGTGAATGTGTGGAAGCTTTGAAGTGTGTGCAGAGGTTTTTTAAAGCGCGTGTTGGTGCCGTTCGAAGCCTTGCAAAGCCGCCGCACCATGTGACGTTCACTGAGGTGCTTTAGAGAGATGGTGCAAGTTATTTTTATAGATCCATGCATGGATGTAGTTCAGAGACTCGTTTTGACAGGTTGCTTTGTGATCCGCACCCGGACTCGTTTTTGCACAGACCTCGCCACGGCTCGGTCTGTACATTAAGGCAGCGGTCTGATATTTCTCCATACAGACCTCGCGCTCGGTTTAAAAGCCGTTAGCATGATTACATTAGGCAGAAAATGAGAGAAGTCGGTAGGTTAATTAACGAAGCAAAAACTGCAGGGAAACTGAAAACAATTAAGGATTTCTTTATTCCTTCCAACTTTAACCATGTGATTGATGCAGTCAGGTCTGTGGCTGGATATGATGAGGAAACAAATCAATACAAGACTCCATCCTTGGCCCTCAAACTCGGCCATAGCCTCAGAAAGCTAGCAGATATTCTTGAATGTGACTCAAAAATGGAGCATTGTGTTTGTGAGATTTCATAACACTTTTAAGCAACTTTTGTTAAGGTTAAACTCATCATTCTATCAATGTGCAGAAGCCAGTACTTTTCCCTTGTTGTGTCTATCTGAAGGCCAAGCTACAAGCACACCGTGGAAGCTGCTGATTGGAGGTCTCCATGCCTCCGCTCTGTATAATACACTTGCATTCTATTGTATCTGTGATCGTGTGCTTTGTTCGTGCTGTGTCTACCATCGACAATAAAACATGTCTTCTGTCTGAATTTAAGCCGCGATCCCAGATATGTCATCTTCTTCAGGTGGTGGAGAATGCGGGCATTGTCTGTAACATCTAGAGAACAGAAGACTACTTTTTTTTTTACACAAAAAGTGTTTTTTTTTTAAGCCAAAACTGAAAAACCTCAAGAGAAACAATGCATCTGGATCAGCACATGGACAATCTGCACAGCCCCTGATTCCAGTCAGGCTGTGAGCTGCTGAGACATGGACAACACCAGCGTCCTCTTTTGCAAGGACATAATTTGGAACAATCTGGATATCTGAATTTGGACATAATTTGGACTGAATTGAATTGCTGAATCTGGACACTGAAGCTGAAACGTGTGATTGAAAGACACGTCACAGAAGAATTCATGGCTCGACACAACAAATGCAGCCTGAAGAATCCAACACGGAGAAGTGGGAGAGACTGTTTTCAAAGCAATATCTGGAACCACCATCATCTGATGAAGTTTGGTATTTTACTGAAGATTGTTGACAAGTTTTATGAAAGATCTGAAAATGTTTTATGAGTTTTATGAGTTTTTGAAGTATTCCGAGTTCTGAGTTTTTTGAAGTACCGAGTGAAGTACCAAGTTTATGAGTTTAAGTATTGAGTTATGATGTTATGTTGCTGTTTATCGATCCTGATGGTCACACGGGAATGTGTGACCAGAGGGGGGGATGTGAGATTTCATAACACTTTTAAGCAACTTTTGTTAAGGTTAAACTCATCATTCTATCAATGTGCAGAAGCCAGTACTCTTCCCTTGTTGTGTCTATCTGAAGGCCAAGCTACAAGCACACCGTGGAAGCTGCTGATTGGAGGTCTCCATGCCTCCGCTCTGTATAATACACTTGTATTCTATTGTATCTGTGATCGTGTGCTTTGTTCGTGCTGTGTCTACCATCGACAATAAAACATGTCTTCTGTCTGAATTTAAGACGCGATCCCAGACTTTGTCATCTTCTTCATGTGTTGATGAACTATTTATTAAAAACCTCCAACGAAGCCGGCTGCTTTTTGAGAAGAGGTGGGACGTCTGTGTTTCTTCTGCTGCCCTACAGACCCTCCGGCAAGCCAAGTGGAACACTCCGGACCTGCTCCCTCTGACTGAGGACGTTAGAGCCATGCATGCACATATTGAGGTATGTCGACCTGAATATGTGCAAACCCTAATAAGTGAGCCAACGTCTAAGCATTGGTCTAAACTGGCAGTTTTGACTCTTTGTGAGGTCATCATTTTCAATCGAAGAAGGGAAGGTGAGGTTTCAAAGATGCCACTGACAGCCTTTATACCTTAAGAAGTAAGACTGGGATCCATTCTGACATTGCTCTGGGACTGTCCCAACTTGAGAAAAAGCTGTGTCAGCATTTTCAACGCATTGAAATTAAAGGGAAAAGAAGTCGGAAAGTGCCGGTTCTTTTGACTCCTGAAATGATTGCTTCGATGGAGATGCTGGTGGAGAACAGAAGCGACAGATTGACAACTGAGACAGTAGCTCAGTTGGTAGAGCACTGGCCTTTGAGCCTGAAGGTTGTGGGTTCAAGCCCACCATGGGACCTTCTCCACCGACTCCCACTGATGACTGCTGTCGTTGTGTCCTTGGGCAAGACACTTAACCCTGCATTGCCTGAAGCCCCCGCTGAAAAATCAAGGCTGTATTGTCACTGACAGAGCAGCCGTCCTCCTGTGGACTCACCACCTGCAGAGGATCAGTGAGAGGCTGGTGCTAAGTGAATTGGGTGCAGCTCTGACTGCCACCCCCCCGACCCAGAAATGGATGAAGGGGAAGAAGATGGATGGATGGATGGAGTAAGACTGGGATCCATTCTGACATTGCTCTGGGACTGTCCCAACTTGAGAAAAAGCTGTGTCAGCATTTTCAACGCATTGAAATTAAAGGGAAAAGAAGTGGGAAAGTGGCGGTTCTTTTGACTCCTGAAATGATTGCTTGGATGGAGGTGCTGGTGGAGAACAGAAGGGCCTGTTCCATCTCTGACCATAACCCATACTTCTTCTCTAAACATTGGACATGGAGTGGCATTAAATTCTATGTCAAAAATAGAATCAATGCAATTCAAAAAGAAAATCAAAAAGAAAATTCCTTTAAAAGAGTTGTTTGTTTTCTATTGACTGTTTTGTATTAAAAAGATCATGTCTATGGGTCCCATTCAGAACGGCCCTGTCATAGGGACCCACCAGGTAACAAAAACGTGTGTGTGCGCGTGATGTGGAGCAGTCATGTACCTAATTAAAGCTAATCTTCTTCATATGAAATACAATTAAGAATGTCTACTGTTTCACAAAGTTTCTTATCTGTGGTGAAATCAGACACGTTGATGTTGCATGTGACGCTGAACACCTTCTCTTCGTCGATTTGTGTCCCCTAGATCCATGGGTGTCCCATTTCTTCAGTACTCCACATTGAGGGTGAATACCAACGAGCGCACTCCCATTAGAGGGCACTTTTCTGTTGAGGGCACTCATAACTCAAGTGCCCTCAGAATTGGGACGGACCCTTAGTCCCTCAAGCATGTCCTGGGTCTTCCCCTGGTCACTCTCTCCTCCCGGGAAACTCATTTCAACCTCTTTCGGTCATCACGTAAAGCTCACATGTAGCTTTGCCTTTCACCTCTTCACCACAACAGTCTGACAGAGCTCTGACTGCAGACGCTGCACCGATCTGTCAATCTCACTCTCCATCCTTCCCTCACTCTGAACAAGACCCAGAGATAATTAACCTTTCCACTCCCCAGCATTAGTTATCCTTGATTCTTGCTTCACCATTAAAGAATTTTCTGACAATATTATTTTCAAGTAAATATTCTCGTTCTTGCGCAATATTTCCTCTTTACTTCTAACTTCTGCATGTGTAGAATAGGGGTGTGACGATATATCACGATATCGATATCTTTCTCCCGCGATTCGATTATCAATATGCATTTGCCAAGTATCAATCAATTTTGAAAAAATGTATATATATAAAATATACATGATATATGGCTACATTACGCATCTCCATTCCATTTATCATGAAATAAAGTGTAATTTTTCTCTTAACTTTTTCTTTTATTTATGCCATAAATTGGCATATGGTATATTTCTGACCAATGCATCGATAATCGTCATATCGTGATATTATCGTTTTCGTGAGCTGTGCATCGTGTATCGTATTGTGAGGTACCCTTAGGTTCCCACCACTAGTGTTGATCATTTGAGATCTGACAACATTGAGATTGCGATCTTTAAAGTTTCCCGTAGACAGACCATGACCAGACACTGACCATGAGCATGCAGAAGTCCGGCAGGTGTCCGGTCATCCCGAACACCGTGGTCTTCAGGTACTTCTCGTGACCGGCCAGATCGATGAAGGTGATGACTTTGGAGGACTTCTCACAGATCTTGGTCCAGTCCAGGCTGCCTCCGTGACTGTCGGGTTTGTTCACCACCTGCACATGTCCACAGCAGGCATCATTTAAACAAAGGATGGACCTTTTTTTAACAAACGATTCTGTGACTTCCGTTTTGCATAAGTGCGACCATTTGATGCATTGATGGGTATTTGACATCACACATAGGAAGATATCTTTTGTATGCAACAACTCACACCAACTGAATCAACAACTTTATGATTCAAGCAAATGTAAATGTAAATAATGTAAACGTGCACTTTTTGTCCCCGTAGGGAAATTCGTCTCATCCTGATGCCACTAAGGCTTACGTCAGCCGCAGTAAAACAGTGAAACTCATCTGTTGGACATTGGTCTCAGCCCCGTATGGACCAAAGGCTCTATGTATTTTTAAATCATTTTTTTCCTTGTGTTTGAATTGTTTAATTCTCTGACATGTGTTGGTACAATCAACGGTTTTGTCATTTCTTCCGAGATGCTACTGTTGTGATTTAGAACTATATAAGAATAAAATGAATTGAAACATGTGTCAATGCCCCTGTATCGTCCAGTGATCTTTGAAAATCCGTTATTTCCGGTTCTTACGACTTCTTTCCACAGTTTAAACAAAGCGTTAATGATCTTGCACTTGTATTGAAACTTTTATTATTTCACAGTGATAATTGTTTCTTTACTTTTTTTTTAGCTTGTTTTATTCCTGTACTTTCTAGCTCTTTTATTCTTGTAGTTTTTGTGTTTTATTAATGTACTTGTCTGGTGCACACTGGGCATTTGCACCTGTATTCCAATGTGGTTTTACTGCAAATGGCAAAGAATCTGCATCTGCGAATAGAGACACCTTTGCCGTTTCCTCGCCCCATCTACCACACTGACTAACAAAGCATGGAGGAGCAGACTCAGTGACGCACCTGTCCTTCTTGGTCGAAGCCCAGGATGTCGTTGCCCACGCTGCTGGTGCGCCCGCTCTCCATCTCGTGCTTGTGTCTGAAGAGTTTCTGTCGAGCGAAGCCTCTGCCGTTGTCCAGCTCCCCGTGGGTCAGGACCCCCAGCAGAGTGCTCTTTCCTGCGTCCACGTTCCCCACCACCGCAACTCTGCCACCAAAACACACTCATTTAGAGCTGCAGACATTTTATCTGAATTGAGGACAGCACATTTTAATCAATGTGTTTGGAAACAGCGTCAACATAAATATACAGGAATTAGCGCAGTAGTTAAATTGCATCCACTGTGTTCTCCTTTCTGTATTTATTATGCTAAAGATAAAGACTTTACTGATCTCACACAGGAGAAATGTACATGTCCATCTGGCATGGATAGAATCACTCACACTGTGTAAAAGACAGAAGTGTGTCTTTTCAGGATGTATTTTGTTCAAAAAAGTGGTAATTAAAGAAACAGTGGCAATAGTAGAGCAGGTTTTTAGTCCTAGAGCAAGTGACTTAAAGTGACCTAAAGTTAGAAATGTAATACTTTCTCCTTTTTTATGCTTAAGTTTGTCCCTCATTTTATTCAAAGATGTTACAAAAATGTAGGAAAATAAGACTGTTCTACTCAAATGTCACATTTTTTATGGTCTGCACATGAACCTTGAACATTCAGGACCCGGGACCTTATCACAGACGAGACATTATTATCATTAAAGAGGAGGAAGTGTTGTGTAGGACCGACTGTGACTTTTGGTTGTATTTGAACTTGCTGTTGAATTAATGCACAAAAAAAAAGCAACACAACAAGTGCAAATAAAATAAACAAAGTAACAAACATGTAAATGATCAGCGTAAACTCAGAGAAAACACAAAAGTGAAACTTAAATGTTGCAACACTTTGCTACTGTATCAATTTAATTGTTTTTCCCAACACTAATGGCTAATAATCATAAGCTAAGCTATACTTTATTGTCCCTGTAGGAAAATGTGTCCTCCGCATTTGACCCACCCCTCAATGTTTTATGGTCAAATTTAAATCATTCTTTAAAAATAAATTAAATTCTTTCCTCTGTACTTCTTACCTGACCTCCAGGAAGTCCAGTTCCCCCACACGTCTCCGGATCAGGAAGTCTCGCACAGTGCCGGCCGCCTCTGAGCGCTGGCGGAGGGGGATGAGGTCTGCATCGATCTGCTCGCACAGGGACCGCACCGTGGCCACAGAGGCCTCCATGTCCGACTCATCCAGCCCCCAGTCCCCTCCGTCTGCCGCACATATGAGCCTCGTCAACATCACAGACAAAGGAGAGTTCTCAACAAGGTTCTCTGAAAGAGGACTGTGAGCCGCCTGCTCTGGAGGCGCTTAATGAATCCACTCTTAAATAATCACTCTTCTGGCCCCTGGAGAAGCCATGTTCCAGCTTCTTCCCTCAGAGAGGATATTGCAAACAGCTTCTTTCCATAAGCTGTCATCAGTTTGAACAAAGCACTTTTGTGCTTATTATTTTTTAACTGTTTCTTGTACTTTTTAGCTCGTTTTCTTCATGTACTTGTCTGGAATAGATACAAAAGTCCCCAGTGTGCACCAACGTGGTTTTACTGCAAATGACAAAATGAATCAGTTTCTGAGTATTAAAAATCAGATATTCATTAATTTGAGAAAGTATTGATGCTGACAAAACGTGAGCTTGTGTGAGGATGTGTCAGTATAAGACCTGGTGATACCATTAGTTCTATAATGTTATTGTTTAAATTGTAGCTAACATTTTCACATGATATATAGGAAACATATATATATATATACATATATATATGAGTGTGTTCACAGTAAAGTGACAATTGAAGTATCTGGACTTTAAATGGTTATAACTTAAAAACTAAAATTACTTTCATAGATTGGAAAAAAGATTTCAAACACAGACACATTGAAGAGATAGTGTGGAAAAAATCAAAAGGAAAGATTGACATAAAAATGTTTAGCAACATTTTAAACGACCAAATGAGCCTCTGATTGGACCATTCTACTGTGACGCCAGTTACATGGAAAATAAAATGTCCTCAGTCTGAAAAAGCAGAAGACTAAATCCCACAATATTTATATGGTTAACACAACAGAAGGAAATCACTTGATATAAAAAGGAATCGTGAAAAAATAATTAATTAATTAATTAAATGACCCCTGAAAAATGTATAACGGACGTGATGAGGACGGTCCTCTTTTCTCTAAAAATTAAACTTCAGAAGAAAAAAAAATCTGGTCTGTTTTCACATTTAATTGGTTGACAATATGAAAGTATCACTTTGCATCTACTTTGTGTAAAAAGTAGAATCTCTGAATCAAATGTGGACATCTGAAAATACCATCAAACTTCCACAGCTCATTCCGTCAAATCATCATCGTCCGTTACATAAAATAAACAGGGCGCTATAGGAAACTTGTCTAATGTATAAAACAGTTATGTTCTAGCAACTTCTAATGGACAGAGGAGGTGCTGGAAACATGAAAAACATAAAATATGTTCTGATTATTAAAATCTAATTTTTGGCCTTTTGTCACACTTTTGTGCCCTTTAGTGTGAACAAACCCATATATATATATATATATATATATATATATATACATATATATATATATATATACATGTATTAAGATTAGGGAGAGATTTGAACTTAAGTATTGTGAATTGAATCCATCAAACATTCCTCGCTCTCAATAATAATTTTCAAACTCAAATGCTCAAAGGGTCAGATTATGACTCACAGGGATATTTCTTTAAAGTGTGCAAAAGATCACATGTTTTATATTAAGGTGAAGACAGCATGTTGTACATTATGTACCAGTTTTTAAAAGTAAATATGTATTAATGTCCCATGGAACAATAATGAAAAACATATTATGGATTTGGTGTTCCTCACATCATACACTCTTTTCACAACTTTTAGAGACCAGAAAACTCTAAACTGCCAAGAGCAGGACACATTAGCCGTGCACTTCTGCTTTTTCACTAAACACAATGAGTGACCTCTGTATGACAAAGAGAGAAATACAAAGTATAGTAAACAGTTTATATTCACGATCATGCCTTTGGGCTTAGCTGTGAATGTCGCTCCATAAATCTCCAAATAGTTATATAAATAAATATGTATGTACTGTATGTAATGTATATTGTGTGTTCTTAGTGCACTGTAGAGATGTTAAGCCATTTGATGAGGATTATTTGAATGCATGCCTTTATCATTTAACTCTTAGGACTTGATTGCACCTTGAGCCAAAGCAAACTCATAGTCTGTGAACGGTTACATACAAAAGAATTCTGACTGATGAACTTGCATTAGTGACATTAAATACTTTAATAATTTAAAGAAGCCATTTATCGCCTGTTATATGCAGTTGTCACAGGTCTAGATGTTCTGTCTTTTTTTTGTTAATTATTCCTGGAAGTAGTAGGATAGGTTTGAACCTGGGAAACACCATCTGTGCAGCTATCTGGGCGAGAAACCCATTCTTGTTTATTTGAACAAAATGCATGATGGCGAGTTCACACTGTCAGAAAGCATTTTCCCTTTTTCAGTTTCTATTCACATGTTTGTATCTTAGTTCTGCACAAGTGGTAAATGTGAGAAATAAACAACATATCACTACTGTCAGCAAGGTAGTGGTGAAGCTAGTGCGAAGGGGAATTCTGACTTTCAGTTGCTCAGTTGGAATTATCTACCTCTGATCTATGTGTTTTTTTATCATTGCACTTCCTGTGTTTGAAAGATTTGATTCTCTGATCTGTGTTGGTGAATCGACAGCTCTGTAAAGTACTCCAAGATAACTACTGTTGTGACTTTGGGATGTACAAAATTAAATGGAATTGAAACAGAAACTGATTTGGTGCAACAACCATGTTTTCTGGGACCTCACCGGAGCCCATTCCAACCACGTAGATGGTCTCGCCGCTGCCCTCCTCCATGCGGTCCCGTAACTGCCGCAGCAGAGAGTCGTACTGCTCTCCATTGGGGCTCACCAGGGCCAGCTGAGAGCAGAGGCAAAACAAAAGACGGAGAATTTTACTCATTCATCAACTTTCAAAAGCTCTGCACTACAAAACAATCCTTATAGCAACTGCTTTGAAATGCCACTACTGTTTTCAATCTACTAATGTTACTGTAAACATGAGGTTTGTATTCAGAGGTGGACATTTGCTTCATAAATGGGAATGTTTTTATAGTACTTTCCAAATGTACTATTTTATAATAAGACTACCGTAACTCTCTTTTGGTCAGCAGATTTGTTGAGTTGAGTAGATTTTATATCTGGTTCAAAAAGGTTTAATTGATAACAAACTTATTTTTTCAAACAGTGAATAATCGAGTAACTTGTTACAGCCATATTGTGTACACTTTATAATACTACATATAATGAACACATTTAGCAGTGAAACAGCGGTAATAGTGTCGTGGTAATAATATATATATATATATATATATATATATATAACAGTGACACGTGTTCAGGATGAATTATCACAAAGTTCACAATTTACTACTTTCATTATTCCTATCCAGTAGATCAACAATATTTATAACCACACATGGCAATAACACAGAGCTCACAAAACACATACAACCAAATCTACTCCTGTATAAAACATTATTATTTATGGCATGTTCCCATTGCTTAGTATCAATAATTCTATATCATCTGAAACTGCAGTAAACATAACAAGGCCTCTATCTATGAGCCAAACAATATGCTTTTAACTGCTGCACATGTGTTTGTATAATGCTGAATACATATATAAGTCGTTGTATTTAGTTTGTTAGAAGAGCAAATGTGTATTATATTCAAAGTCTCTGGCGTGTTGTTATCATGTCGTTACAGTGCTAGCCATAGCAGCGATGCTAGCCAGAGATAATGTGACTTTTCCAAACTGTTCTCATTAAACTATTATAGTAGTGCTGTGTGTTCAACAACTGTCATTACAATATCATTATGACACTGGGAACACCATTGCATTTGAACACAGGGTCTTAATACACAGTAATAAACCTGTTATTAGCTATGTGTTGCCAACTCCATTCATTCATTCATAGCCGCCGATGCTAACGATGCTAACGATGCTAGCGATGCTAACGATGCTAACGATGCTAACGATGCTAACGATGCTAACGATGCTAACGATGCTAACGACGCTAACGATGCTAACGATGCTAACGATGCTAACGATGCTAACGATGCTAACGATGCTAACGATGCTAACGATGCTAACGATGCTAACGATGCTAACGATGCTAACGATGCTAACGATGCTACCGCGGCCTGCCCTGCCGTACCTTGCTGGTGAAGTCTATCCGATCCAGGCACTCTCCGTTTAACACGTCCTCATCTTCGAAGCACTCTTCCCCCATGTCGTCCGAACATCCTCCCCGGTCAGGGGCGAAGATGCTGGCTGGGACCAGGGCATCTGCCAGCGCCATGGAGCCCGGGTCGAGGGTCGCTGCTGCTGAGGCCATGTCTGTGGGTAACTGCCACACACCGGACACAATGAAAAGCTTTAAAACATGACAAAAGGGGAACTCCCAAATATGGCAAAGCGCATGTGTTCGTACAGGTGCAGATATGTACACATTAAGTATATTTCTAGTCGCAATCGCAGCTTTATAAAGTTGTTGTAGACAGTAGTAATAATCATGAGGGAGGCTGGAGTTTCCGCGTTGCTCTGGCTCTGCTAACCAATCAGAATGCAGCATACTAGTACAGTTGTGGCACTGGACCAATCAGAATGCAGCATACTAGTACAGTTGTGGCACTGGACCAATCAGAGACAGGAGGTTGTTCATATCATTACTACAGTGTAATGTACTGTATGGTGTAACAGCTGTGTAATTCTGTGTCCAGAGCAGGTTGATGCAATGGTAGAATTATGTAATGAAAAACAACAAAGTGAGTCATGGAAGTTATGTGGGTTATGTTGGTATACTGGGATATGTTGGTATACTGGGATATGTTGGTATACTGGGATATGTTGGTATACTGGGATATGTTGGTATACTGGGATATGTTGGTATACTGGGATATGTTGGTATACTGGGATATGTTGGTATACTGGGTTATGTTGGTATACTGGGATATGTTGGTATACTGGGATATGTTGGTATACTGGGTTATGTTGGTATACTGGGTTATGTTGGTATACTGGGATATGTTGGTATACTGGGATATGTTGGTATACTGGGATATGTTGGTATACTGGGATATGTTGGTATACTGGGATATGTTGGTATACTGGGATATGTTGGTATACTGGGATATGTTGGTATACTGGGATATGTTGGTATACTGGGATATGTTGGTATACTGGGTTATGTTGGTATACTGGGATATGTTGGTATACTGGGATATGTTGGTATACTGGGTTATGTTGGTATACTGGGTTATGGTTGGTATACTGGGATATGTTGGTATACTGGGATATGTTGGTATACTGGGATATGTTGGTATACTGGGATATGTTGGTATACTGGGATATGTTGGTATACTGGGTTATGTTGGTATACTGGGATATGTTGGTATACTGGGATATGTTGGTATACTGGGTTATGTTGGTATACTGGGTTATGTTGGTATACTGGGATATGTTGGTATACTGGGTTATGTTGGTATACTGGGTTATGTTGGTATACTGGGATATGTTGGTATACTGGGATATGTTGGTATACTGGGTTATGTTGGTATACTGGGATATGTTGGTATACTGGGATATGTTGGTATACTGGGTTATGTTGGTATACTGGGTTATGTTGGTATACTGGGATATGTTGGTATACTGGGATATGTTGGTATACTGGGATATGTTGGTATACTGGGATATGTTGGTATACTGGGATATGTTGGTATACTGGGTTATGTTGGTATACTGGGTTATGTTGGTATACTGGGATATGTTGGTATACTGGGATATGTTGGTATACTGGGATATGTTGGGATATGGATACTGGGATATGTTGTTGGTATACTGGGATATGTTGGTATACTGGGATATGTTGGTATACTGGGTATATCGGATATGTTGGTATACTGGGATATGTTGGTATACTGGGATATGTTGGTATACTGGGATATGTTGGTATACTGGGATATGTTGGTATACTGGGTATGTTGGTATACTGGGATATGTTGGTATACTGGGATATGTTGGTATACTGGGATATGTTGGTATACTGGGATATGTTGGTATACTGGGATATGTTGGTATACTGGGATATGTTGGTATACTGGGATATGTTGGTATACTGGGATATGTTGGTATACTGGGATATGTTGGTATACTGGGATATGTTGGTATACTGGGATATGTTGTATACTGGGTATGTTGGTATACTGGGATATGTTGGTATACTGGGTTATGTTGGTATACTGGGATATGTTGGTATACTGGGATATGTTGGTATACTGGGTTATGTTGGTATACTGGGATATGTTGGTATACTGGGATATGTTGGTATTACTGGGATATGTTGGTATACTGGGTTATGTTGGTATACTGGGATATGTTGGTATACTGGGATATGTTGGTATACTGGGATATGTTGGTATACTGGGATATGTTGGTATACTGGGATATGTTGGTATACTGGGATATGTTGGTATACTGGGATATGTTGGTATACTGGGATATGTTGGTATACTGGGTTATGTTGGTATACTGGGATATGTTGGTATACTGGGTTATGTTGGTATACTGGGATATGTTGGTATACTGGGTTATGTTGGTATACTGGGATATGTTGGTATACTGGGATATGTTGGTATACTGGGATATGTTGGTATACTGGGATATGTTGGTATACTGGGATATGTTGGTATACTGGGATATGTTGGTATACTGGGTTATGTTGGTATACTGGGTTATGTTGGTATACTGGGATATGTTGGTATACTGGGATATGTTGGTATACTGGGATATGTTGGTATACTGGGATATGGGTATACTGGGATATGTTGGTATACTGGGATATGTTGGTATACTGGGATATGTTGGTATACTGGGATATGTTGGTATACTGGGTATGTTGGTATACTGGGATATGTTGGTATACTGGGATATGTTGGTATACTGGGATATGTTGGTATACTGGGTTATGTTGGTATACTGGGTTGTTGGTATACTGGGATATGTTGGTATACTGGGATATGTTGGTATACTGGGATATGTTGGTATACTGGGATATGTTGGTATACTGGGTATATGTGGGTATACTGGGATATGTTGGTATACTGGGATATGTTGGTATACTGGGATATGTTGGTATACTGGGATATGTTGGTATACTGGGATATGTTGGTATACTGGGATATGTTGGTATACTGGGATATGTTGGTATACTGGGATATGTTGGTATACTGGGATATGTTGGTATACTGGGATATGTTGGTATACTGGGGATATGTTGGTATACTGGGATATGTTGGTATACTGGGATATGTTGTATACTGGGATATGTGGGGATATGTTGGGTATACTGGGTATGTTGGTATACTGGGATATGTTGGTATACTGGGTATATGTTGGTATACTGGGATATGTTGGTATACTGGGTATATGTTGGTATACTGGGATATGTTGGTATACTGGGATATGTTTGGTATACTGGGATATGTTGGTATACTGGGATATGTTGGTATACTGGGATATGTTGGTATACTGGGATATGTTGGTATACTGGGATGTTGGTATACTGGGTTATGTTGGTATACTGGGTTATGTTGGTATACTGGGATATGTTGGTATACTGGGATATGTTGGTATACTGGGATATGTTGGTATACTGGGATATGTTGGTATACTGGGATATGTTGGTATACTGGGTTATGTTGGTATACTGGGTTATGTTGGTATACTGGGATATGTTGGTATACTGGGATATGTTGGTATACTGGGATATGTTGGTATACTGGGATATGTTGGTATACTGGGATATGTTGGTATACTGGGATATGTTGGTATACTGGGTTATGTTGGTATACTGGGATATGTTGGTATACTGGGATATGTTGGTATACTGGGATATGTTGGTATACTGGGATATGTTGGTATACTGGGATATGTTGGTATACTGGGATATGGTTGGTATACTGGGATATGTTGGTATACTGGGATATGTTGGTATACTGGGTATGTTGGTATACTGGGATATGTTGGTATACTGGGATATGTTGGTATACTGGGATATGTTGGTATACTGGGATATGTTGTAGTTGGTATACTGGGATATGTTGGTATACTGGGATATGTTGGTATACTGGGATATGTTGGTATACTGGGATATGTTGGTATACTGGGATATGTTGGTATACTGGGTTATGTTGGTATACTGGGATATGTTGGTATACTGGGATATGTTGGTATACTGGGATATGTTGGTATACTGGGATATGTTGGTATACTGGGATATGTTGGTATACTGGGTTATGTTGGTATACTGGGATATGTTGGTATACTGGGATATGTTGGTATACTGGGTTATGTTGGTATACTGGGTTATGTTGGTATACTGGGTTATGTTGGTATACTGGGATATGTTGGTATACTGGGATATGTTGGTATACTGGGATATGTTGGTATACTGGGTTATGTTGGTATACTGGATATGGGTATGGTTGGGTATACTGGGATATGTTGGTATACTGGGATATGTTGGTATACTGGGTTATGTTGGTATACTGGGTTATGTTGGTATACTGGGTTATGTTGGTATACTGGGATATGTTGGTATACTGGGATATGTTGGTATACTGGGATATGTTGGTATACTGGGTTATGTTGGTATACTGGGTATGTTGGTATGGGTATGGGGTATACTGGGTATGGGTATACTGGGTATGTTGGTATACTGGGATATGTTGGTATACTGGGTATGTTGGTATACTGGGATATGTTGGTATACTGGGTTAGTTGGTATACTGGGATATGGGTATGTTGGTATACTGGGTTATGTTGGTATACTGGGATATGGTTGGTATGTTGGTATACTGGGATATGTTGGTATACTGGGATATGTTGGTATACTGGGATATGTTGGTATACTGGGATATGTTGGTATACTGGGATATGTTGGTATACTGGGATATTGTTGGTATACTGGGATATGTTGGTATACTGGGTATGTTGGTATACTGGGTTATGTTGGTATACTGGGATATGTTGGTATACTGGGTTATGTTGGTATACTGGGATATGTTGGTATACTGGGATATGTTGGTATACTGGGATATGTTGGTATACTGGGATATGTTGGTATACTGGGATATGTTGGTATACTGGGATATGTTGGTATACGGGTATGTTGGTATACTGGGTTATGTTGGTATACTGGGATATGTTGGTATACTGGGATATGTTGGTATACTGGGATATGTTGGTATATACTGGGATATGTTGGTATACTGGGATATGTTGGTATACTGGGATATGTTGGTATACTGGGATATGTTGGTATACTGGGATATGTTGGTATACTGGGATATGTTGGTATACTGGGTATGTTGGTATCTGGACTGGGATATGTTGGTATACTGGGATATGTTGGTATACTGGGATATGTTGGTATACTGGGTTATGTTGGTATACTGGGTATGTTGGTATACTGGGATATGTTGGTATACTGGGATATGTTGGTATACTGGGATATGTTGGTATACTGGGATATGTTGGTATACTGGGATATGTTGGTATACTGGGATATGTTGGTATACTGGGATATGTTGGTATACTGGGTATGTTGGTATACTGGGATATGTTGGTATACTGGGATATGTTGGTATACTGGGATATGTTGGTATACTGGGATATGTTGGTATACTGGGATATGTTGGTATACTGGGATATGTTGGTATACTGGGATTGTTGGTATACTGGGATATGTTGGTATACTGGGATATGTTGGTATACTGGGTTATGTTGGTATACTGGGATATGTTGGTATACTGGGATATGTTGGTATACTGGGATATGTTGGTATACTGGGATATGTTGGTATACTGGGATATGTTGGTATACTGGGATATGTTGGTATACTGGGTTGTTGGTATACTGGGATATGTTGGTATACTGGGATATGTTGGTATACTGGGATATGTTGGTATACTGGGATATGTTGGTATACTGGGATATGTGGACGGGTATACTGGGTTGTTGGTATACTGGGTATGTTGGTATACTGGGATATGTTGGTATACTGGGATATGTTGGTATACTGGGATATGTTGGTATACTGGGTATGTTGGTATACTGGTTGTTGGTATACTGGGTTATGTTGGTATACTGGGTTATGTTGGTATACTGGGATATGTTGGTATACTGGGATATGTTGGTATACTGGGATATGTTGGTATACTGGTATGTTGGTATACTGGTTATGTTGGTATACTGGGATATGTTGGTATACTGGGATATGTTGGTATACTGGGATATGTTGGTATACTGGGATATGTTGGTATACTGGGATATGTTGGTATACTGGGTTATGTGGTATCTGGATTGTTGGTATACTGGGATATGTTGGTATACTGGGATATGTTGGTATACTGGGATATGTTGGTATACTGGGTTATGTTGGTATACTGGGTTATGTTGGTATATACTGGGTATATGTTGGTATACTGGGATATGTTGGTATACTGGGATATGTTGGTATACTGGGTTATGTTGGTATACTGGGTTATGTTGGTATACTGGGATATGTTGGTATACTGGGTTATGTTGGTATACTGGGATATGTTGGTATACTGGGATATGTTGGTATACTGGGATATGTTGGTATACTGGGTTATGTTGGTATACTGGGATATGTTGGTATACTGGGTTATGTTGGTATACTGGGATATGTTGGTATACTGGGATATGTTGGTATACTGGGTTATGTTGGTATACTGGGATATGTTGGTATACTGGGATATGTTGGTATACTGGGATATGTTGGTATACTGGGATATGTTGGTATACTGGGATATGTTGGTATACTGGGATATGTTGGTATACTGGGTTATGTTGGTATACTGGGATATGTTGGTATACTGGGTTATGTTGGTATACTGGGATATGTTGGTATACTGGGATATACTGGTATGGTATATACTGGGTTATGTTGGTATACTGGGATATGTTGGTATACTGGGATATGTTGGTATACTGGGTTATGTTGGTATACTGGGATATGTTGGTATACTGGGTTATGTTGGTATACTGGGATATGTTGGTATACTGGGTTATGTTGGTATACTGGGATATGTTGGTATACTGGGATATGTTGGTATACTGGGATATGTTGGTATACTGGGATATGTTGGTATACTGGGTTATGTTGGTATACTGGGATATGTTGGTATACTGGGATATGTTGGTATACTGGGTTATGTTGGTATACTGGGATATGTTGGTATACTGGGATATGTTGGTATACTGGGTTATGTTGGTATACTGGGATATGTTGGTATACTGGGATATGTTGGTATACTGGGTTATGTTGGTATACTGGGATATGTTGGTATACTGGGATATGTTGGTATACTGGGATATGTTGGTATACTGGGATATGTTGGTATACTGGGATATGTTGGTATACTGGGATATGTTGGTATACTGGTTTATGTTGGTATACTGGGTTATGTTGGTATACTGGGATATGTTGGTATACTGGGTTATGTTGGTACTAGACTGTGTGGACACATCATTTGCAAGACTAGAACAAACCATGTTGACATATTACATGCAAGAGCAGGATAAACCCTCACCTTTCGTTGTTTATTCTGTTCCTGCAGGATATTTGAGAGTAAGTTGGACATACAGAGGAGGCCAGAAAAGTAGTAAGTGGTAGTAGTGGGCGCCACGATGGCTGAGTGGTTAGCACTCTCGCTTCTCAGCAACAAGGTCCTGAGTTTGAATCCCGGCCAGAACAGGGCCTTTCTGAGTGGAGTTTGCATGTTCTCCCTGTGTCTGTGAGGTTTCCTCTGGATACTCCGGTTTCCCCTACCACTAAAAACATGTACAACAGGTCTGTGCCTCCTGTACTGGCCCCTCCCATCTCTGTGTGGAGTGACTCTGGTCTGTGAAAGGCACTATATAAATAAAGATTACTTACTAATTACTACAATATAGTAACCTCACAGTCCCTTATGACGTCACTTTACTGCTCGTCACCTTATTGCACTGATGACTGCATAATGTGTATTGTAACTGTGATCGTAATAATGTTTGTTGTAAATGTTATACTTTAGAAGTGAAGGCTGGTTTATATTATGCCTGTAGTCTCGTTTCTTTACCTCTCTCTCTGACTGTTGCACTGAGCCAAAGCAATTTCCAAGTCTGTGGCTTCCTGTTACTTACGTGGCAATGATAATGATTCTGATTCTGATTTAGCAGAAGGGAAGATCTTCAGCTGAAAAAATGGGATTTCATTGGAATCAATTAAACCTAAAATGCGACGCTTTAATTTTTGGGATAAGTACAACCAAATTGAAGACATAGTAGAATGTTGTTGTTGGGTGTAAATTACACTGAATATCATTTAAAACATTAATATATAAAACATCTTATTGCTCTTTCTAAATTCACTCAACTCAGTGAGTCTTATAAAATGAACTTTGTTTATCTTCAATCTTATAAGTAAACACTTGTTTAACCTGAATATAAAACAAATACATATTGGATGTTTCTTCTCATGTATTTTAGAATGGGTTCCAGTATTGCATATAATAAAGATGTTCTTGGTGAGTATTAATACTTTACTGTATATATTGGATCACTGAATCTATTATTATGATGAGTCTTGTTTGTTTTCCATACACTCATTCTAGCAGACTATACTGTAATGTCCTTTCTGAAAATCTGGGTTTGATCAGTGAGGTCCAGGCTTGATCAATGCATGGGGTCATCATGACAGCAGCATATTCGGCTTAATGTCCTTTTGATATGACGGGGCTGAGCTAAGGTCGTTGGGAATGGCTGTGCTGTACAACTTTTGGTTAATCTGAAAAGAAGTCAACAAGATTAATTGTCCTCTAATCTAATCTGTATGTGTTCATGTCTCTGATGATGGGAAAAGGGGAAATCCTTCATTGGAACATGACAAACCAGACTACACTTCATCTTCACTTATCGATGTATCTGAGGAGCTGCAAGTGGAATAATCTACACCTGCAGGAGGAGAGCCATAATCTACACCTGCAAGAGGAGAGCCATAATCTACACCTGCAGGAGGAGAGCCATAATCTACACCTGCAGGAGGAGAGCCATAATCTACACCTGCAGGAGGAGAGCCATAATCTACACCTGCAGGAGGAGAGCCATAATCTACACCTGCAGGAGGAGAGCCATAATCTACACCTGCAGGAGGAGAGCCATAATCTACACCTGCAGGAGGAGAGCCATAATCTACACCTGCAGGAGGAGAGCCATAATCTACACCTGCAGGAGGAGAGCCATAATCTACACCTGCAGTAGGACAGGCATAATCTACACCTGCAGGAGGAGAGCCATAATCTACACCTGCAGGAGGAGAGCCATAATCTACACCTGCAGTAGGACAGGCATAATCTACACCTGCAGGAGGAGAGCCATAATCTACACCTGCAGTAGGACAGGCATAATCTACACCTGCAGGAGGAGAGGCATAATCTACACCTGCAGGAGGAGAGCCATAATCTACACCTGCAGTAGGACAGGCATAATCTACACCTGCAGGAGGAGAGGCATAATCTACACCTGCAGGAGGAGAACCATAATCTACACCTGCAGGAGGAGAGCCATAATCTACACCTGCAGGAGGAGAGCCATAATCTACACCTGCAGGAGGAGAGGCATAATCTACACCTGCAGGAGGAGAGCCATAATCTACACCTGCAAGAGGAGAGCCATAATCTACACCTGCAGGAGGAGAGCCATAATCTACACCTGCAGGAGGAGAGGCATAATCTACACCTGCAGGAGGAGAGCCATAATCTACACCTGCAGGAGGAGAGCCATAATCTACACCTGCAGTAGGACAGGCATAATCTACACCTGCAGGAGGAGAGCCATAATCTACACCTGCAGGAGGAGAGGCATAATCTACACCTGCAGGAGGAGAGCCATAATCTACACCTGCAGGAGGAGAGCCATAATCTACACCTGCAGTAGGACAGGCATAATCTACACCTGCAGGAGGAGAGCCATAATCTACACCTGCAGTAGGACAGGCATAATCTACACCTGCAGGAGGAGAGGCATAATCTACACCTGCAGGAGGAGAGCCATAATCTACACCTGCAGGAGGAGAGCCATAATCTACACCTGCAGGAGGAGAGCCATAATCTACACCTGCAGGAGGAGAGCCATAATCTACACCTGCAGGAGGAGAGGCATAATCTACACCTGCAGGAGGAGAGCCATAATCTACACCTGCAAGAGGAGAGCCATAATCTACACCTGCAGGAGGAGAGCCATAATCTACACCTGCAGGAGGAGAGGCATAATCTACACCTGCAGGAGGAGAGGCATAATCTACACCTGCAGGAGGAGAGCCATAATCTACACCTGCAGGAGGAGAGGCATAATCTACACCTGCAGGAGGAGAGCCATAATCTACACCTGCAGGAGGAGAGCCATAATCTACACCTGCAGGAGGAGAGCCATAATCTACACCTGCAGTAGGACAGGCATAATCTACACCTGCAGGAGGAGAGCCATAATCTACACCTGCAGGAGGAGAGCCATAATCTACACCTGCAGTAGGACAGGCATAATCTACACCTGCAGGAGGAGAGCCATAATCTACACCTGCAGTAGGACAGGCATAATCTACACCTGCAGGAGGAGAGGCATAATCTACACCTGCAGGAGGAGAGCCATAATCTACACCTGCAGTAGGACAGGCATAATCTACACCTGCAGGAGGAGAGGCATAATCTACACCTGCAGGAGGAGAACCATAATCTACACCTGCAGGAGGAGAGCCATAATCTACACCTGCAGGAGGAGAGCCATAATCTACACCTGCAGGAGGAGAGGCATAATCTACACCTGCAGGAGGAGAGCCATAATCTACACCTGCAAGAGGAGAGCCATAATCTACACCTGCAGGAGGAGAGCCATAATCTACACCTGCAGGAGGAGAGGCATAATCTACACCTGCAGGAGGAGAGCCATAATCTACACCTGCAGGAGGAGAGCCATAATCTACACCTGCAGTAGGACAGGCATAATCTACACCTGCAGGAGGAGAGCCATAATCTACACCTGCAGGAGGAGAGGCATAATCTACACCTGCAGGAGGAGAGCCATAATCTACACCTGCAGGAGGAGAGCCATAATCTACACCTGCAGTAGGACAGGCATAATCTACACCTGCAGGAGGAGAGCCATAATCTACACCTGCAGTAGGACAGGCATAATCTACACCTGCAGGAGGAGAGGCATAATCTACACCTGCAGGAGGAGAGCCATAATCTACACCTGCAGGAGGAGAGCCATAATCTACACCTGCAGGAGGAGAGCCATAATCTACACCTGCAGGAGGAGAGCCATAATCTACACCTGCAGGAGGAGAGGCATAATCTACACCTGCAGGAGGAGAGCCATAATCTACACCTGCAAGAGGAGAGCCATAATCTACACCTGCAGGAGGAGAGCCATAATCTACACCTGCAGGAGGAGAGGCATAATCTACACCTGCAGGAGGAGAGGCATAATCTACACCTGCAGGAGGAGAGCCATAATCTACACCTGCAGGAGGAGAGGCATAATCTACACCTGCAGGAGGAGAGCCATAATCTACACCTGCAGGAGGAGAGCCATAATCTACACCTGCAGTAGGACAGGCATAATCTACACCTGCAGGAGGAGAGCCATAATCTACACCTGCAGTAGGACAGGCATAATCTACACCTGCAGGAGGAGAGGCATAATCTACACCTGCAGGAGGAGAGCCATAATCTACACCTGCAGGAGGAGAGCCATAATCTACACCTGCAGGAGGAGAGCCATAATCTACACCTGCAGGAGGAGAGGCATAATCTACACCTGCAGGAGGAGAGCCATAATCTACACCTGCAAGAGGAGAGCCATAATCTACACCTGCAGGAGGAGAGCCATAATCTACACCTGCAGGAGGAGAGGCATAATCTACACCTGCAGGAGGAGAGCCATAATCTACACCTGCAGGAGGAGAGGCATAATCTACACCTGCAGGAGGAGAGCCATAATCTACACCTGCAGGAGGAGAGCCATAATCTACACCTGCAGGAGGAGAGGCATAATCTACACCTGCAGGAGGAGAGGCATAATCTACACCTGCAGGAGGAGAGCCATAATCTACACCTGCAGGAGGAGAGGCATAATCTACACCTGCAGGAGGAGAGGCATAACATACACATAGCGTTACAGTACTGCGTGTAGCACTGCGTGTAGCGTGGCTAGCTCAGATACCAATCAATCAACACCTTTAAATGTAAATCGGAGAATACAGTAAACATACACATCATTAACTCAAATGCAGGTTTTCAGAATTATCTGTTCATGTGTTCATGACAAAACTACAAGTACAACGAGTCTGTTCAGAGAAGCTAGCCGAGCTAGTCACTCTCAATAAACAAATACCAATCAATCAACACCATTAAATGTTAATCGGAGAATGAATAATCGTGTATATATCTTTTCTGATGCTAATAATTGCGATGAAATGACGTGAAGTGATGCATTAGCTAACGACTGCTAATGATCTAATAACAGATCCATCGCTGTGGATTCGGCGGACGGATTCCGTCAAAATGACTGACACGCCGCTATGGGTCATGTGACTGGGAGATCCCTATACCGGGCGCAGACCCATGGCGGATGCAAGTGAACTCCATTGCAGACCCGCATCTGCGGTGAATCTCAGCATATTCCGCTGTGGATACTTTGACGGCTGTCAGCTTTTGGTCTTGGCCATTATGTCGGCCTAGCTATTATTTGCTATTTTTGTGTGTAGTGTGAGTTAAGTTTATTTTAAAATAAATATTTAACTTAACATGGTTAGATCTCTCCTCCATTTACAATTGATACATTTATGTCTTATTAAAATCAGCTTTTATTTGTAGAGCGCCTTTCCTACACAAGGCAACACAAGGCGCCTCACAGCCCATATCACCTCATGCACAAATCATACATTAAAATAAACATAAACATTAAGAATACAATTAAAATCCCAGGGGGCATTAAAAACACACAATGAGATCACACAAACATTTAAAAACAAAAAAATAAAATCACACAAGTAATTAAAAACATTAAAATCATACACAGGATTAAAATCATAAATAGCCATAGTGCACCAAAAATGAACACCCGAAATATTATAAACACATATTGTAGTTATATATTCTGGATAGCAGCATATTACATTCTAGTACTACTTTAAATCACAGTGGTTCAAAGATGATGATATAGTTCCGCTGGCCTATGGAGCTCTATCGTTCATAAAGTAAGTAAAAACTAAAATGGTGCACACGTGGAATAAGCATATTTTCAGAAGTAATACTGTCAAATTGACTGCTCTGGGAGTTCTAGTGTTATAGAAAACACAACTGTGAAGGTAAATGGATATAACTTGATGTTCGCTGAATATAAGAATAAACATAACTGTTAATGTATAATTGTAGAACCTCTTAGTAATTCTAACACTACATTATTTGAAGCCAAGAATGAAGTAAAGTGGTATAATTTGAAGTACAGCCCTCCTCATGTGTGTAATGTTTCATTCTGACCACTAGGGGGACACCATGGGTTATTGACGGGAAATCATGAAAGCTGCACTAACTGACTTTATTTTTGTATTAATTACGAAAATGCTATCCATGTCCGTGTAGTGCTTTGGGATATACATCATTTTGAAGAAAAAGTAGCGCAGGTTTGTGCTGGTGTGACATTATATTTTAGATTGAGTTTTGATAAAACAAGGAAGAGAATGTGTTGCGGGTCGCAGATTGTGACCAATCACAGCGGACCACTAGCCCCCACTTTCGTGAGAAATCTACAGGTCCGTTAGCACAGACGGCTGAGTTAGCACAACAAGCGGCGGAGCTAACCTGAAGCTTCCTCGTCTTCGTCACCGGGTACTGCTTACACAGCGAGACAGCCATCCAAAAGAAAGTCCCGTTCCTCCGCGCTTCCCCGTTATATCGTTCTATGGTCACGCCATCCACGCTCAAATCCATATCCATGTATTATCCATATTGGGAGACGCTAGCTCCGTCCCAACAGTGAGTGTGTGTGGGGGGCGATAGCTTCGTGGGTGCGGGGAGGGGAGCAGAAAGAGCGAGGCCAGCGGGTCCGCGGCTTCAAAATCCCAAAGTCAGTTAGTGCAGCTTGAAAGTGTAGAGCCCCGTTCGCACCGCCGATGCATGGGCGTGCGTTCACCAAATTTCAGCAGCGTGAGGGTAGACAATCTGACGTACTGCCCTGCGATGGGGAAAACACAGGGCGGAAGATGGGCAGGCTTTGATGCTAACAAGTTTAAGCTTTTTGTGTAAAGTTATTTTCCCAGAGAGATAGAACAGGAGTATCTGCCCACGGAGCTGCACCATGGACGTATTATTGCATCAACTGGTACTTCTGTATCGGCCAAAAGGTTAGCAGCACTTGTTTACAGTCACGAGAGAATGAGGATTCGGGGTGAAGACATATGTTCACAAGCACTGCGGCCCCCGTTGTCAGCCCTGGTTTGCTGCTCTCCGATTGGTTGCCGCACATGCGTGGATCGAGGATGTTTGGTGAATCGTACATGCAAATACTCACACCGACGTAGGACACCATTGACTTTGCATTGGAACTCGCCGCAGCACATGATCTGGTGGGAACGTGACTCAGCCCTTGTGGACAATCACGCTCGTAACCATGATTTGAAGTTTGCAATTATATATTATTATATGTTTTAATGACCTTTCCTGAGGACCACGGTGGAAACTAGCCGTGTAGCTAATACTGACACATTTACAGTAATGTTGATAAATATGTACTGTCCCTATTTAAATAAAATAATAAATATGAGGTCACTACGCAGTATCACCTGAGCACATTTTTCAATTATTTTGCTTTTGATTAACGATAGAACAATCTTTTTGTTTTGTTTTACCGGTCCCCGCCTTTAAGCGAATGCAGCTTCCTGGGAGTTTTTACAAAACACCAACCAACTTTACAAATACAATATGAATAACTGAAGTTTTGTAAATAAAGAATTAAATAGAATGTAATTAAACGGTCTTTGTTTCCTGCAACACAAGAGGAACGACATCACCATCGCACCCTTTTCAATTAGGACCCCAGAGGTGCCTCTACCTGCCTGCGTGGGTCATCTCAGTATCTCCCATCTAAAATATGCTAATTCTTGCCTTTGACACATTAAAAGGAAAATATAAATATGAGGTGGGCATTAATATTAATATTATTACACATGCTAATTATCAGCGTTTAAAACGCTTCTAACTATAGCTTTGTATTCGGAATATTTACTATATATTAAGTATGCAGAGTTTTTATGACTTCAGCACAGTAGAGCAGTGGGAGAGAGGTGTATGGTCAGAGAGTGTTTGGGCCTGTGTCTTGTTATGAATGTGGGGATGGACTATTTAGAATATACTATTGTTTAATAATACTTACTGTACCTGATACTGCAGCGACCCACAGCACTTTATCTGTCGTTTTGTTCAAGAACTCTTTCAAAAATAATCAAATTGTCATAAAAAAAATATCAATACGACAAACAGATTACAAAGATTAAAAAGCTTTATTATAATTTGCACGTTACGAGAAAACAGGTATGAAACACTTTGAGTCACGTTTTGAGAGGATTATGGCTGCATGATAATGCGCACTGCTTCTGCACACTTCCATCCTGCTGTGTTTATAAAGGGCACATTCAGAGCAGTATTATTCAGGATTATTGGATTTGGATGCTGCTGATGCGGGCGTCTCCGTCCACGTTGATGAAGGAGTACTTTTCTAGTCCCATGCGGTTGGGGAACGTGAAGGAGGAGCCGTCAGGGAGAACCACCAGGAACTCTGCCGGGTTGAACGTGATGTTGATCTGAAATGAGAAATATATGAATTCCTATGAGTTATAAGCATGTGTAAAAATAAGGCCATAATTTCTCCTACGGGGATCAATATCTATCTAATGTATTATGTTTTTGTAGTAACTTTCCCCACACTGGTCCCTGGCCCCTCCCTCCTGTCCACAGAGCAGCTGATGTGCACTTGTGACCATAACGCCCTCTGCTGGAGGCTGCAGCATATTATCTCTAACGACCTTTGTTCATGTTGCAGCAAAAAGCACAAAAGAAACATATGAAGACAGCAGGACTTTATAAACCAGCACCAGGATGATCTTATGTGGGTGGGATTATTCTAATCAGCAGAGTCAGGATGTACACAGTAGAATTCTTAATTAATTGTACAGTTTTGTACTGTTACAATTTTGATTTATGCTGCAAAACCAATTTCCCCTAGTGGGACAATAAAGACAACTTGAACTTGTTGGATTGATTTCAGTGTTTGAGAATGAAGCGTCTGGGAGAAGAATCAGCTCCTCCAAAACCAGTGCCCTGGAGCTTGACCTCAAGTGGAGGAGTTAAAGTATCAGACTGTTGTGGTGAAGAGGGAGCAGCGTCTGCAGTCAGAGCTCTATCAGACTGTTGTGGTGAAGAGGGAGCAGCGTCTGCAGTCAGAGCTCTATCAGACTGTTGTGGTGAAGAGGGAGCAGCGTCTGCAGTCAGAGCTCTATCAGACTGTTGTGGTGAAGAGGGAGCAGCGTCTGCAGTCAGAGCTCTATCAGACTGTTGTGGTGAAGAGGGAGCAGCGTCTGCAGTCAGAGCTCTATCAGACTGTTGTGGTGAAGAGGGAGCAGCGTCTGCAGTCAGAGCTCTATCAGACTGTTGTGGTGAAGAGGGAGCTGAAGTCTCGGCGTCTCAGACTGCTGCCCTTGCGACCCGGCAATGGACAAAGCGGAAGTAAATGAATGGATGGATTAAAGTGAAAGAGCTGAGAAGAGGGTGGAGCAACAGTGACTTCTTTAGTGTTTGATTTTACCGTGAACTCTCCCCCGAGCTGGAAGGGGAAGCTGGTGATCCTCTGCTCCTCGCACCAGGAGCCGCCCTGGTAAGAGTTACACACCACGGTCTTCTGGTCTCCGTGGGCGTCGAAGCGAGGGTTCATGTGCATCGTGATCTCCTTCTCATCCGGCCCGATGTTCACCACGAAACTGTAGTCACAATGTTCCCAGGTTTTCAACCGTCTCAACAAATGTATACAACTACTTATGACTGTGTGTGTGTGTGTGTGTGTGTGTGTGTCATCTAAACAGCAGAAGCATGGATTAGAATTAGGGCCACACTCACTATGTAGCGTCCGGTTTGGTTGTTCCCACCAGAGTCAGAGTCTGACCGACTTTGAAGGACATATTCTTCACAATCATCCCCTGGAAACACAAGACGTAGATTATGGATAAAATAATTCATTTTTCGAAGATCTTATTTAAAACATGTTTTACATTTTATCAACTCAAATGTTTGACATGTTGAAAATGTGAAGTCACTTACATATATCTTGGTATATGGTATATTTTAAACAACTGACCAAAGAAAATCTAACTGGTGATTGTTCCAAGGAGAGAGACAATTTTAAATACATTTTACTAAAGGAAATATTTTTACATTTTAGTTTAGCCCTAAATAAATACCAGCTGCTGATTAGTGTTCATGGTTTATCGTTTAAATAGCTCTTAATTGGTATTTATTAAGCACTTATTATGCGCTGGAACCGGCAGCAAGTCCTGAGTAGCTCTGAAACAGCTGTTTGTCTGCAGTGTTCATGGTTTTACACTGGTCCAGACCAGAGCAGAGAGGATTCATGGTTTTACACTGGTCCAGACCAGAGCAGAGAGGATTCATGGTTTTACACTGGTCCAGACCAGAGCACAGAGGATTCATGGTTTTACACTGGTCCAGACCAGAGCAGAGAGGATTCATGGTCCCAAACAAGGTTAGGTTAGGGTCCAATAATTACCAGTTAATTATCTGATAATTAGTGAAGTGTTACCCAAGATACGTAACATAGACGGCTCTACAGGGTTGTATGAAATAATGTATTATTTTCAAAGTAAAAGGTCATTGATTTAATTGAAGCTTAAACTGCCTCAGAACGGAACATTAATGTGAGAGACTCTAACAACCTCTCTTTGTCTCCGTCTGAATCACCGACATGTGTTTCTCATTTGTGGAACAGCTACACTCAGATTCCAACCTGGCAGCCCACACTCAGCAGTCGTTGTGCAGCTGCTGCTTTTCTCGCGACCAAATTTGGAATGAGGTGGAATTGAAAAAAATAGAAAAGAGACTGGGGCTCATGGCTGCATGGATGAGTAAGACTTTCCAAAGTGCAGAGATGGAAAGTGGAGGAGTACAGTGTGAGGAAGGGGGAGAGTGAATGTGGCCTTACAACTCAGGGAATGCATTGTGCTTGAAGAGGAAGAAGAGGTTTGTAGCTAAACCTCTTCGTCACCTCGGAGTAAACAGCTGGGAGCACGTGGATTTTGTTTGTCAGGAACATATTGACGAGATTGTCCTTTTGAATTGCAACGTCGACAGTTTTGATGATAAGACAGTGGTCAACGGGGAGACGGAGAAGATTCATGACTCAATCGACTTTCAAACACTTCTGATTCTGTGAACCGTCAAACACTTTAAAGAGAACACATGTACATTAAAGAGGCCGGTGCACACAGGGGTAGTCTGGTCTTATCCATCTGTACTCTGCGGTCCATCATCATGTCCTGCATTAACGTCTGGGTCTGGTCCCTGGGTTTGGTTTTAGATCGGTTGAATTCCATCCGACCAATCAGAGAGCGCGGGAGGCGGGTGTTGTAGTTAGATGTGGGTGACGTCAAGAGTTTGCGTCAAACGGGCAGGTTGTAGTTTGGAAAAAAACGCGATAGTAAAGTATTCTGTTCTGGTTCTATCAAGAAACTGAAGCCGGAGCAAGAGGAATGTTTAGCAAATGTAATCTCTGGCAAAGATTGTGGCGCTACTCCCCACGGGCTCCGTTAGCGGCAAAGGAGATGCTAGCCTAAATGCTAAATGCTAACAACTCGCTCAGGGTCATTACATACGTCACGGTAAACTCGAAATGTAATTTGTACTATGGTGTGGTACGACCAGGCTAACACTGGGGTAGTCTTACTCAGGTTTTCCAATGTGGTTTTACTGCAAATGGCAAATAAATTCTTGTATCTTGTATCATTCAAAAAGTAAAACTGTGTGTGACCGTCAGTGGGTAAACAATGGACCTAAAAGAATTTCCAATTATATTTTACAAAGAGAAGGAAATAGATAAAAACCAACACGGTTGGTCCTGTTCCCGGTCCTTTTCAGACACAAAAGTGAAAAAGAGTCTCCTCACTCACACAATCAGTCAAAAGTGACTCTCACAGCAGTTTCTTACTTGTAAAATGTAAAATGCAGTGCCTTGCGAAAGTATTGAACCTTTCAACATTTCGCCACATTTCAGGCTTCAAACATAAAGATATAAAATTTTAATTTTTTGTCATGAATCAACAACAAGTGGGACACAATCGTGAAGTGGAACAAAATTTGTTGGATAATTTAAACTTTTTTAACAAATAAAAAACTGAAAAGTGGGGCATGCAATATTATTCGGCCCCTTTACTTTCAGTGCAGCAAACTCAGTCCAGAAGTTCAGTGAGGATCTTTGAATGATCCAATGTTGTCCTAAATGACTGATGATGATAAATAGAATGCACCTGTGTGTAATCAAGTCTCCGTATAAATGCACCTGCTCTTTGATAGTCTCAGGGTTCTGTTTAAAGCACAGAGAGAACCATGAAGACAAAGGAACACACCAGGCAGGTCCGAGATACTGTTGTGGAGAAGTTTAAAGCTGGATTTGGATACAAAAAGATTTCCCAAGCTTTAAACATCTCAAGGAGCACTGTGCAAGCAGTTATATTGAAATGGAAGGAGTATCAGACCACTGCAAATCTACCAAGACCCGGCCGTCCCTCCAAACTTTCATCTCAAACAAGGAGAAGACTGATCAGAGATGCAGCCAAGAGGCCCATGATCACTCTGGATGAACTGCAGATAACTACAGCTGAGGTGGGAGAGTCTGTCCATAGGACAACAATCAGTCGTGCACTGCACAAATCTGGCCTTTATGGAAGAGTGGCAAGAAGAAAGCCATTTCTCAAAGATATCAATAAAAAGTCTTGTTTAAAGTTTGCCACAAGCCACCTGGGAGACACACCAAACATGTGGAAGAAGGTGCTCTGGTCAGATGAAACCAAAATCAAACTTTTTGGCCACAATGCAAAACGATATGTTTGGCGTAAAAGCAACACAGCTCATCACCCTGAACACACCATCCCCACTGTCAAACATGGTGGTGGCAGCATCATGCTTTGGGCCTGCTTTTCTTCAGCAGGGACAGGGAAGATGGCTAAAATTGATGGGAAGATGGATGGAGCCAAATACAGGACCATTCTGGAAGAAAACCTGTTGGAGTCTGCAAAAGACCTGAGACTGGGACGGAGATTTATCTTCCAACAGGACAATGATCCAAAACATAAAGCCAAATCTACAATGGAATGGTTCACAAATAGACGTATCCAGGTGTTAGAATGTCCAAGTCAAAGTCCAGACCTGAATCCAATCGAGAATCTGTGGAAAGAGCTGAAGACTGCTGTTCACAAACGCTCTCCATCCAACCTCACTGAGCTCCAGCTGTTTTGCAAGGAAGAATGGGTAAGAATTCCAGTCTCTCGATGTGCAAAACTGATAGAGACATACCCCAAGCGACTTGCAGCTGTAATTGCAGCAAAAGGTGGCGCTACAAAGTATTAGCGCAAGGGGCCGAATAATATTGCACGCCCCACTTTTCAGTTTTTTATTTGTTAAAAAGTTTAAATTATCCAATAAATTTCGTTCCACTTCACGATTGTGTCCCACTTGTTGTTGATTCATGACAAAAAAATAATTTTTTATATCTTTATGTTTGAAGCCTGAAATGTGGCGAAAGGTTGAAAGGTTCAAGGGGGCCAAATACTTTCGCAAGGCACTGTATGAATGCATTTTTTCATAGGATGAAGTCTGAATTTTACATGATGTAGTTGTTTTTTGAGCTATGAATGAATCAATGATGATGCTGTTTGTTTATTGGCAGCAGGTTTGGTAAATGTTTCTCTTCCATTGTGAGCTGACCACATCATCTGTTGTCCAGAGAAAGAACGCCTAAAGATTTCTTCTCTGTTAGATATTTGGTGAGGGGTTTCATTTTTATTGCCACGTGAGTAACAGGAAGTCACAGACTTGGAAATTGCTTTGGCTCAGTGCAACAGTCAGAAAGAGACAAGGAAAATCCATCCATCCATTTTCTTCCCCTTAATCCATTTCTGGGTCGGGGGGTGGCAGTCAGAGCTGCACCCAGTCCACAGAGCACCAGCCCCTCACTGATCCTCCTGCATGTGGAGTCCACAGGAGCTGAGATCTGTCAGTGGGGGCTTCAGGCAAAGAATCAAGAATCAGAGATAAGGAAAATAAAGAATAAAAAACACTTCTAAAGAATAAATTTAAATTTAAAATAGAGTTACAGTTACTATTTACAATATGCAAGTGCACATGGTGCACACAATGTAAGGTGACAGCAGTACAGTGAAGTAAAGTGACGTATGATGGGCAGTAAAGTGACTTTATAAAGGGCGGGGGGACAGGTTAAGAAGTGTTCAAGAGTCCAACAGCAGAGGGGAAGAAACTGTTCTTGTGGCGGGAGGTTCTAGTCCTGATGGACCGCAGCCTCCTGCCTGAGGGGAGTGGTTGGAATAGTCCATGTGCAGGTGAGAGGGGAGTGGTTGGAATAGTCCATGTGCAGGTGAGAGGGGAGTGGTTGGAATAGTCCATGTGCAGGTGAGAGGGGAGTGGTTGGAATAGTCCATGTGCAGGTGAGAGGGGAGTGGTTGGAATAGTCCATGTGCAGGTGAGAGGGGAGTGGTTGGAATAGTCCATGTGCAGGTGAGAGGGGAGTGGTTGGAATAGTCCATGTGCAGGTGAGAGGGGAGTGGTTGGAATAGTCCATGTGCAGGTGAGAGGGGAGTGGTTGGAATAGTCCATGTGCAGGTGAGAGGGGAGTGGTTGGAATAGTCCATGTGCAGGGTGAGAGGGGAGTGGTTGGAATAGTCCATGTGCAGGGTGAGAGGGGAGTGGTTGGAATAGTCCATGTGCAGGGTGAGAGGGGAGTGGTTGGAATAGTCCATGTGCAGGTGAGAGGGGAGTGGTTGGAATAGTCCATGTGCAGGTGAGAGGGGAGTGGTTGGAATAGTCCATGTGCAGGTGAGAGGGGAGTGGTTGGAATAGTCCATGTGCAGGTGAGAGGGGAGTGGTTGGAATAGTCCATGTGCAGGTGAGAGGG